AATTTCTGTATAAAGAAATTGGAGAGAAAATCAGTGTATCAAGTTGAGATTATCAGGGAATTTTAAGGTCACTTGGAAATATAGAATGTAAAGATGCAAACTATTTGGACCCAAAAAACGTGATACCCAGAAAGGTAGCATTTAGCAAGGATGCTAAAACAATGACAGAAATAAAAATGTAATACCTTGAATAGACATCCTGCCACTGTAACCGCCATTTTGCTTTTAGTGGCTCTTACTTCATCCCACTTTGAAAAATAATCACTAATAGTTAAAATGTATTTACAACCATCTTCACTAATTGGACTGAGTGGGCCAATAAAATCTATGCCAACCATATATCATTGAGTTTTTACCTTTATTGGTTGCAACTCTGGTTTTCAACAGTTTAATTTTCTATTCATTCTCTGGCATACATCACATAATATAAGCTGAAACAGAATAGAATGGTATAGTAATACTTTATTATAAATTATTAGGGAAAATCAAAATTTTCTCTATTTACTCTAATACATAATAATGTAAAATGTAAATTACCAATTCATGGACATTTTTTACCATTCCATGCCACATGAAATGCTCTTTTACCCTGCCCAATGTCCTTGTTTTACCCATATGGCCAGAAGTAGGATGGACATGGCAAGCTACTAATATTTTTCTTCTCTCATCATGATTTATGGTGAATCGCAGAAATAGTTCCTTTAAATAACAACATTGCATATAAGTATTAATTTATAATTGTTAGTGTTTAGGTATTCAAGAATGGCTAGTGGCAGCCATCATGGCTATGTATGAAAATGTCACAACAACAATCAAAACAAGAGATGGACAGAGTGATAGTTTTAAAGTAAAAGTTGGTGTGCATCAGGGTTCAGTGTTTAGTTCTTTGCTTTTTATTATTGTTTTGGAAGCTTTCTCTAAAGAATTCAGAGTTGGTTTACCATGGGAGTTATTCTATGCAGATAATTTGTGTCTGATAGCAGAAAACAGAAACAGAAGAGGAATTAGTATTAAGATTTGAAATTGGGAAAGATGGAATTAAAGCTAAAGGGCTTAAGATAAAACATGAATAAAACAAAAGTTATGCACTGTACAGTCAAGAATGAACAAGCAGAAAATACTGGGAAGTGGAGTGTCATGTGGAGTGTGTAGGTATGGAGTTAGAGCAAATTTTATTGTTTGTACAGTTTGTAGGCAATTGGTTTATAAGAGATGTAGTGGTATTCAAGGTTCTCTTAAGATTGTTGGTTTTGAGTATAGAAAACGTATTCTTGATGAGTATAGAGAAGTTAAAAAAGAGGTTGAAATAAAAAGTGGAGGAAAGATAGTGTTATTAAATTTTTTTTCTTCTTGGTGATACAATTGGATTAGCTGGAAGAGCAGAAGAAGCATCTTGGGCAAGAGTAAGGTCTGCTTTAGAGTAAGTAAGAGTAAGGTATCTATCATTAAAAAAAAGGGGGGGGGGGAAGGGGCTACTAATAATTAATTGAATGAAAAAGAAACTAAAACTACTATATTAAATGTATATATTCTTTTTATGACTTTTTCATATATTTTCGTTAACTTTGATTACAGATACTAACTTGAACAGAATAAACAAAAGCATTAAAAAAGAATAAATTAAAAAAAAAAAATTCCAGCCCTAGCTGGTAATCCCCGCAAATTGTGTTTGTTTAGCCAGAACCGGGTTTGTGAAAAGCGCTATTTTGAGCCAGGGCTAAGGCTCAGGTCACTTACTACTTGGGCCAAGTTCAGAGAATTATATCCTCTTTTAACAGCAAGAGGTGCTTCATTAAAGATTAAAGGAAAGTTATACAGCATATGCATCCAGAGTGTTATGATGTATGGCAGTGAAACATAGGCAATCAAGGTCAATGATGTTCAGCATTTGGAAAGGATAGAAAGAATGATGATTAGATGGATGTGCAGTGTGACTCTAAAAGACAAGAAAAGCAGTGATGATTCAAGAAAAAGATTAGGCATAGTGAGTGTATCTGATAGGGTGTATCAGGAAAGATTAAGGTGGTTTGAGCATGTAGAGCGTAAGAATGCAGATGACTGGTTATCAGCATGTAAAAAGTTAAAAGTTTCAGGAGAAAGAGGTAGATGTAGATACAAAAAAAACTTGGAAAGAGTGTGTTTCAGATGATTTGAAAAAGCTACATTTCAGGAAAAAAAATGTTCAAGTGTATGTTGGAGAAACCACTTTATAAGAAACATCCAACCCATACAAGGAGTGAAACAAGGACACTAAAATGATGATGATGATGTTTTTCTATAAGTTATTTTATTATATTCAGTTATAACTTTTTTCAGTTATTTATGTCATCAATAAGCTATGTCAAAAAATACATACAAAAAATACAGACAAATATAAAAATCAATTAAAGTTGCAAGGCAGAAATAAAAACAATTTACAATTTTATTTTTTTGACTTATATTGCTATGTTATATGTTGCATGTATATTAATTTGAATATCATTTCTTCATTTAAAACTTAGCTTGCAGAAATTTCAAATTTAGGCTAAATTTGATAATTTAGGCTAAATAATGAATAATATTAACTGCTATTTATTTTAGAATAAATAATTGTTATGAATAAATATTGATAAATCAAGAATTGATAAATATTGATTGATAAATCAATCAATATTTGTTTATTACCTTGTTCAAATCAAATTAAATATATTCTGAAATTAGTTATTAACATTTCAAGGATATTTACAATAGTACAAATACTAGTATAAAGTAAATTCCTAACAAATACAATAACTTAGTTAAAAACATAAACATAGTTAAGCTATCAAACAGTTATACAAATAAAGTAAAAAATAGTTTACAAATACAACACATCAATATAAACAACAATGAAAATAATAATAATAATAATAATAATGTCATATTAATAAAGTAATAATAATATGTCATTTTGATTTGATGTTTATTTTTATTTTAATAATGAGTATTAATATCATATTATATGATATTAATACTCATTATTAAAATCAAATCAAATCAAAATTAAAGCTAAAATATATCAATAATAAGTAATAATGATAGTAAAGTAGTTAAATATGTATTTACATAATATTACTATCACCTAAAAACATAATAATAACAAAATAATAATATTAATAATAATAATAGTGAGTGTGTATTTATATAAATATTGTTACCAATATTTATATATAAACGAGTTACCTTGTCTTTCTTTTTATACTTATATAGTAATTCCCCGCCTTCCGAAATCATAAACTTTAAGGCTTTTTTTCTAATTACTCTTTTTTCGCCTTCTTGACTTCTATCAGGGTATTGCTTATTGCTTAAATAAGTAAAAACATTTTGAACAAGGTCGTCTTCCATGATAATTTTTAAGATATATGCGCACATGCAAACTAAATTATAAACACAGACCAATTTTTTCTAGCTCAGACCAATTTTTTCAGAAAAAAATTATCCGGCCGGATATATAATTTCTGAGAAATTCAGTCCGGGGCACTGATCTCTATAATAACTTTATAATCTCTATAGAGATCAGTGGTCCGGGGTCATTTTTATCGGCGGACCAAAATTATCGTGACAGAACCTAATGCTCATGAAAATAAAGCTGCCATGGCAACCCTTTGAATCTGATAGTTATTATCTCTGAGCAATATAGTATAATATTTTAAATCAAATCAACTGCGGAAATGAATTTCAATAAACTGGTTGCTTTGCTTATATTTTGACAAACAACGTAAGTATATTATTAATTTGAAACTGGAATGTTAATTTTTCAAATGTCTTCACCAAGCATCTGCTATGCATTAAGTGTTTAAAAAAATCAAATTGTAAAGTAAGTAAAATAAAATGTATTTTAAAATTTTCATTCATGAAAGCATAGAGAGTCTTCAATAAAAACTCAAGTAAAGATCATATTGCAAATATTGAAAAGGCCTCTCCATTGGTAAATAAATGTCAAACAATATGTATAGAGAATGCAAGCACTTGTTAAGCAGTTCTTTTTATATATTTATAGTATATACTATACCTGTAATCTTCTTGTATATTCACATTTTTAGTATTAATTTGTATATTTATTTAGTTATGTTTTAGTTAACATAATCTATTTAACTTAATAATTAAATATTAAACCAATAAACGGAAAAAAAAAAAAAAATACAATTGACATTATTTTGCAAACTAAAGTTTAATGTTTACATTTTGTTGTTAAAAAACCTGTTATACCTAATTTTTATTTTCAGGTTTTATTTTAAGCTACTTTTTATTTTAGTCTAATTAACCATAGCTAATAAAGGCCAGCAAATGCTCTTACTGTTTTTCCAAAAATTGTTTTTAGCTTATTTTCTAGCTCAATTATGACTATTAATTATTACTATTTAATAAGACTTTTAACTTTAAGATTTTAATTATAATACAAACATTCAACTGTATGATTTTAATTATGACAATTATATACAAACATTCAACTATATGAGATTAATAAGTTAGCAAGTAAAAAAACTTACATACAACAAATGTAGTTTGATGAGAGGATAAGAATATTAACTCTTTAAAGTTTAGGAAATATAAGAATATTACCTTTTCTAAATAAGTTTTATCCTGTTTTTTTATTAATAAAAATTAATTTTTCTTATTATTATTATTTTTCATTGTATTTAGTTTTCATTATTATCTTGTTATTGTTAAAACTACTAAAATTTATGTTTATTTCAGAATAATAAAAATGAATAAACAAGAGAAAAATCAATACTTGAGGGAATGGTGCCAAAGTAATCGAGCCTTAAACAATGTACTTGTAAATGAAGAAATTGACTCATATCATTTGTCGACTCTATTAGTAATATTAATAGAGTCGAGAGTTGAATTGATTTCAAAAACATTCAAATTAAGAACTATAGTGACTTTTATTTTTTCTCTGATCATAAATGTACTTCTGGAACTGAGAGTTCTATTCTAGACTTTGAGGTTCCTGTGAGTGATGATAATCTTCATGGTGTACTTGTTACATAACATACGAGTACTTGTTACAGAGATTGCCAAATGGATTTCAAAACACAGAATAACTTGAAATGCAAGTGACGAATTGTTAACCATTTACGCCAGTATAGTTATAATGTTGATTTACCAAAATGTACAAGGAAAATTTAGTGTTAGTGATATCATTTTTTAGTTTGTTAGTGATATCATGCCAAATAATTGTGATGATTTTTAATATGATTTTTTGCATGAGTATGAGTTATTATTTGCAAATGGTTTTTAGTATTATATATATAACTTCAATTAATTCTTGAGAAAAGGTGTTGCTAATGTGCCATTAAAAAGTCAGAAAGTGTTAGCATAACCATTTTTAAAAAGATAGAGTCCCTTGAGGAATTTTATGAGCTTGAAACCAGATTAAAAGACAACGGGGAGAACAGTAAATTGGTAATTTATATTTATAATTTCTATTTTTAAAGTTTGTCTGTTTAATAGAATGCTATTTAAGTTCATCGTTTTCTTGATGAGCCTATTTAAATCATTCTTACATTTTACCACAATATGGTGTAAAAAGTAAATTCCTACTTATAAATTGAGAATTAACTTAGTGACCTGTAACCATTTACATTCTGTAGAGTTTTTTACAGTCTTGTATTTTTGTTAAACTATTTTGTCTTATATTTGGTTGAGCAATTATTATTTTGTTGCTTTGATAGAATAAATGTGAAAAACGACCAAATAAATCTAATCCTGTGTTATTCCAACATGAAATTTTCTCTAAACTTTTATTTATGTTTTAGCTTTGTCACCTCATAAAAGCAGGTGGAAAAATGTTAAAGAAAATACAAAAAATGTTATGGTCAGGTATGTATTTTTCTTTAACTCTGAATAATCAAACTGTTTTGTGAGTAAATTTTATAGAAAAATCTAGCCCAAGGAAAGTAATTTAGAAAAACAAAAAGTTTTAATATTAATGTTTGGGGAGAACCTTACGCTTATTGAATGGGACAAAATCAAATTTACATTTATGGATATCCAAACTCCTGTGGTAAGAAATGTTAAACACAACAATTTAACAGACCAAATCATTATTCCTATCATGGTCTAAATATGATGGGCCAAACATAATATTAGAAATGTTGCATTAATGGGAACTAATAGCACATTTAGAATGGTGGAAACATTTTTTTTGTTTTGGTGAGAGAAGTTAAGTTTAATTTATTTTTGAGCTTTTTTGTAAATTTAACCATTAACTCTGACATAGTGTGAGAGTAAATGGTTATCAAATAATTTTCAATGTATAAATTAAGCAACTTTATCAACTTTTAAAAAGCATTTTACAAAAACTGCCCCATTTATTTAGGTTCTCCCTTACAGGTTTCACTTTTAATTCAATGTCGAAACTTTAAATTTATAAGTTTATAAAAAAATAAAGAACCTTTCCAAATTATACTTTTTGAATTATTACTCCAATGTGTATTTACAATTATTTAAATAAGTTTGCTGGATCACTTAATGTAATATAACAAAGTAGTTATTTTCCATTTATTATTTGTTATTACGTTTTTATAGAATTATGGAGCATCATGTTAAGTCCAAGTTCAATATAAAAAGCAAAATTCGTGGTGATATAAAGAAGGTTATCATTCGAAAATAAAAAGTTGTGTGAAGCAATAATTTTGGTACGTTAATAATAGCTCAATATTGTTCTATCTATCCTTTCTTCCTTACATATGTTTTTTATTCTTAGATATATATAAGTCTTAAACCTTGAATGTTAGCATTGAAAATCAAACAAATAGTCAACTATAAACAAAATAAATTTTTAACTGTTATCCCGTTTACAATATCCCGTTTTGTATTTTAGAAGTCATCCAGCTAACGCACGAGAGTTCGACGGAAGCAAACAAAAGATCAATTAGGAAGCATTTTAAAGTTCTCTCCATTAAACAATTATTTATTTTTGAGTTTTTTTGTAAATTTATAATACAAAAGAATATATAATACATCTTTAAAAAGATCTTTAAAAACATTTATTGTATTTTTAGTTTGAATATCCCCAAAACTATTTTTCTAACCCTTTTTAAGGGGTTAAAAACCTTTATATTAATTTTGAATATTGATTGTAATTGTGTTTAACATTTAATGTTAATATATACGATTATATTCATATAATAAACATGACACGAAGCCGCGTATAAAGGGCTTTGGCTCAGGGTTATATGAATATAACAATAGCTATATTAACATTAAATATTACACAATTACAATCATTATTTTACGTTAAAATAAAACGCCAATGTTTTTTCAATTTGTATTTACATTAGTATAACGTTAATCTAACTTTAGAATTTTACGTTAATATCTAACGTAAATCTAACGTAAGAATTTTACGTTACAAAACCTTTCCATTTTGCCGAACCGGCAACCTTATACTAACATAAAATCTAACGTAAATAAAACGTTAATACAACGTTGTGTGCCTGCTGGGAAATAAGTCAGTAATGTAGATAGCTACACCGCCACCTCGACGTCTGTCACAGCGATCTTTGCGATCTAAATTATACCCATCGATGTTAGGAACTGAGTCATTTCGAAACCATGTTTCGGAAATGCGATGGTTTTGCATCAGATGCGATTTGGTTTTGCATCAGATGCAAACTTTGGTTTTGCATCAGATGCGATTTGAATCAGAGCCACAAAATTGGAGGTCGGGAAAATAGTCCCTTCCCCCTTAATTTAGCACCGTCTTGACCCTAACCATATACTTTTTTTTGCGCTTATCCCTTGTGTCACTCAATGAATGTAGATGCATTTAAAAAAACATTGAGTTTAAATAAACTTCAATTTTGACGACAAAAAAAACCGGGTCACGTAAGTTTTTTTTAATGATTATTAGTGTAATTTTTTAAATGATTATTAGTGCAATTTTTCAAACTTAGATACTTTCAAATGAACTTAAAAAATTTTCATTAAAATTTAGGTTCTTTAAGAAAAAATGTTTGATAAAAAAAAAAAAAAAACGTTATTTAAATTTTATTAATTTATTTTTTGTAAGAGTTTTTCGATTATGTCCCTAAATGTTTGTCAAACCCGAAAAAAGAGGAATATTTCCATATTCTTCCATTATTTTTAATACACGCTTTTAAACTCTAATCTTGCTACTATAGAAAATACTATGGAAAACAAAGCTGAAATAGATTAGTGGTCGATTAATTAGATAATAAAACGTTGTGTCATTGCGTATTATTGCTTTTACGTATAAATAAAAATAAATATAAAAGTTTTAAAAAATGATTAAAAAATCGTATTTATAAATAAGAAAACTGTTTTAATAAGAATAATATGTTAAACATATTCTCGTTACTAATAAAAATATGCAACATATAGTCTCTAATATTAACAGAATACTTAATTGTACATTAGAAAAAACACAAGATTAGCGTACTGGAGCTATACTTTGAAGTAGTTTGTTACATTTAATGAAAGCTCCTTACATTTCCTGTTCATTTAAAAAATTTTCTTCAAATATTTTTTAACTTAAATTGTCCTATAATATAGTAATAATATATACGCTAAATATTTCAAATATGACTCACAAACACAAACATTTTATAGTTAAATAATATAACTAAATATAATTTATCAGATGTAAAGGTATCAACAACAATAACAAAAAAGTATACACATTGTCATTTAGCGTATACTTTCTTTTTCTAAGTAATTCCAAAAAGTAGAAAGACATAGTGTAATGAAAAAAAATATGCAACGTTTTTTTACTTCTACAATTACTTTTTAATATTAAACTCAAATTAAACATAGTCTAAAAGTGTATGGATATATTGTATATGTATATGTTATATTATAATTTTTGATGATTGATCAACCATGATTTAAAAGATTTTGTATATATTTTTATGCTTTTTGAAAATTGCATTAAGTTTAAAAAATTAAATTTAAGTAGAATTTAATATTTTTTGTAAATTCTTCAGCATTTAGTATTTTTAACCTTACAAATAAAAAAATAGGTTGTATTTATAGAGTGTTCAAGATTAAAAGTTTTTATTAAAAATTGCATTTGAATGAAGATGAATGAATTACAGATGAATGAAGAAGAGCCAAAAAACTTACTGAGTCATAAAACCAATTGTTACCCTGACTCTGAAGAAATTAGCAGATTTCCAAGGTTACTATATCGGATTCATGAAAAACCTCCTTTTTATCTGTCAATAATGCTTGGATTTCAGGTAACAAATAAGTATTGTAGTTTTGGTTGTATTTAATTTTTTTTATATAGAAATGCTTATAATTATGCTTTTAAATATTCCAAGCATTACTTAACAATGTTTGGATCAACCATGGGGATGCCATTAATTCTAGCACCAATTGTTTGTTTTGATAATGAACCTGTTGTGATTGTAAGTGTGATGAGCACAACATTTTTTTGCTCTGGCATTGTAACGTTGCTACAAACTTCTATCGGCTGCAGGTAATATATGTTTACAAAGTTTTACACTCAAATGTTTTTAAAGCAACTTAAGGCACAAGAATTGCTACAAAAGTTATAATTTATTATCAGATATAATTTGTTTCATAAATACATTTGTTAATTAAGAATTAAAATCTATCAATTATTATAAAAAACCTTTTTTTATCTTATAGATAAGACAAGCACTTATTAAATTAAACTCTGCTATTATATTCTTGAATAGTTATATTTTTCTTAATTAGAAAAAAATAAAAAAACACATAAAGGGAGGTTAAATTTTAATTATTGATACACTACAATTTGTTGTAGTTTATTGTTTTTAATTTTAATTTATTATTCTTCAAGTTGTATATTTTTTTTAAGTTAAAACATAGTTCTTTTAAATTTTTTTCAATACCATTTAAAAATCTTGAATTGCAAAAAGAAAAAGTTAAACTTTTAAAACTAGTAATTTTTTAGCTGTAACTTATTCTAGATTCAAATTGTTTTTTTGTACATAAGATGCAGAACTTCTTTCTAGTATCAAACACAAATGTTTTACAAAAAAAATACAGTGATTGAAGCTTGGGAAAAAAATTCCATAATTTATGTTATTTTATTAAATAATATAACCTTGTTGTGTTAACTGGAAAGAATGAATTGTATAATCATTTTATAGAAGAGAATAATTCATGGTTCATGAATTGTGCAATAAAGTTAAAAAATATTTTGGTAGAACCACAAGTCATTATAATTATATGTCCATAAAACATCATATAAACAGGAAACATAAGTCAGTACTTTTAATGCTTTTAATGCTTTTAATATAAGACACATGAGGGGGTTGAGGTAAATATGTAAAATTAATTTACTCAAAACCAATTTAAAATGCATAAATTTTTGAAAAACTATTAAATTAATAGTAGTTAAGCTGTAGCTGCGTTAACAGCAAGTTAAAAATTGGTTTTGACAGCTTTTGATTTTATACAATAATTTATTTAAGCATAAAATGAAAAATTTAAACAAAAATGTTTTTTTGAGTTAATTTTTTTGATGTTAAATTTTTGTCTGACATGTTCTTGAAACTGTTAACGTTTTTTGAATTGACAACTGGCAATTTGATCCATGAATTTGCTGTTCTGTTTGTATGAATACATGTATAAACTTAGTTTGTTCTAAGATGTATTTCTTATTGTGACCTCTGCATGATTTTGAGAATGTTGGTTTGTTTAAAAGTTTTACTTTTTTGATCCTATTGAAAATCTAAAATATTTAAACAAATCTCCTCATTGTCTGCTTTCTGACAATGTTGTTAAATCAAGTGGCTGTAAATGGTCTTGGTACTGCAGGCTTCCTATGTTCTTTGACATCCTTGTTATTCTATGCAGTACTTTTCTATTATTTCAATGTCACCTTTGTAGTCTGTTGACCGAACTGGTGCTGCAAGTTCAATTATGCGGTATTGGTGTATTCAAAAATGCGGTAGTGGTGTAGTGGTAGAGCGCTCGCTTCATAAACGAGTGGTTCTGAGTTCGATCCCCACCACATCCCTGGGAGTACCGCGCTCAACTCGTTTCTCCGCGCAGCGGCCTTGTTCTTCAAGGTTCGTGTTTTGGAGTTATAGAGTTGAGAGAGGGTTATAGCCACAAAATAAGTAGCCTCCTCGTCTGTAGTGGCCTTCTCGGCCTTAAGGAGGTGAAGTTAAATAAAAAAAAAAAAAAAAAAAAAAATTAGAGGTCTAACTAAAGTTGTATTTAATTGCTTGACAAGATGCTTGTCTAAATGGACAAAAGTGTTTTTACCATCCCCATTATTGCATTTTCTTTTGATAATCATGTTACTATGTGTTTGTTCCATTCAGTAGTGTATCAAAATTTACACCAAGATCATTCTCATTCATTGAATTATTAATTTCTGATCCATTTAATGTGTTATTGAATTTTATGCTGTTTTTACTGTATTGGATAACCACACAATTACTTTCGTTCAGTTTGATTAATCATTTTTCTGACCACTCTTCTATATTATTCAAATCTCTTTGAATTAATTTGGTATTCTCAATTGAATTTACTGCTGATAGAATTTTGGTGTTGTCTGCATATATCTTTACTGTACTTTTGATTTTCTTTGGTATGTCATTGATGTATGCTACAAAAAGGGATGGCCCTAGAATGGATCCCTATGGAACACTACTTAATACAATCTCCATGTTGACACTATTCATTTTAAACAACTTCTCGTATTTAATTACTCAAAAATGCATCAATCCAGCTTTAAAATTTTCCTTTTATACCATATGCGTTCAACTTTAATATAAGTTGCTTGTGTGGCATTTGATACCATGTTTTTGCAAAATCTAGCATTATAACATCTAAAAATCGAGAGTCTCTAAAAGATTTGTTGTACATGATTTCTGTTTTACAAAAACATGTTGGCATTTTGTGATCAGATTGTGGTTGTTAAAAATTTTCAACTCCTTTGAATATATTACATACTATTGATGTTATTGATACAGGTCTTTAGTTTGATGCATTTACTTTGTAGCACTTAACATTTATAGTTTAAGGCAGGTTACTTGCGTTGAAAGATGATTTGTAGATTATCATTAGTGGTAATGCTACTGATTTTGCACATTGCTTTAATAAAATAGGATGTAAATTATCTGCACCACATTTTGTATTTTTTAGTCTTTTTTTTGTTGACAATTTGACCACTATTGTTTTGATGTTTTAAACTAAACTTAAACTAGGGAAAAAAACTAAAGAAAAAAGAAAACAATTTCTTACAAAAAAGAAATAATATTAGCACTAAAATAAAACTCAAAAAACTCAAACTCGAAGTGAAAATTACTTCTTATTATGTAAAAAGTACTACTTTTTATTTTGATAGTTTATGTATAATATAAAAGTATGGTATATTTGTTGTGTTGTTGATTTGTGAAAACAGAAGTTCCAGTCGATTGAGTTAACTTTTTTGTTTATTTTTGTGTAGTCTCAAAAACATCAAAATCATTAAATGTATTGTATGCGCAAAACAAAGTTGGTATTCAGCAGGAAAAATATTTCCTAACTTTTTCCATTATGGAAGCACCATCTGTTGTTTGCAAACTACATCACTGGAAAGACTTACATTAAACATGTCTAATTTTTTGATACAATCATTTGCATTATACAATCTAATTATTCTCTCTAATCCAAGATTTATAAACCCAGTATAAAAGTGAAGATTTATATTCATAACCTTCTGCCATATTTTGAATATTCATCCAAATCTTCACTGAACTTGAATTTTTTTTATTTTTCAAGTATTTTTCTTCTTTTTCTTTCAACTATTTCGATATAATATTTATAGATAAGGTTCATGACATCTGTTTTAGATTTTGGCAGCTATCATAAAGCAACTCGCAAATTTTGCTTTATGAGGTAGTGGTCACAACTAAAGTAGTCTCCTCGACTGTAGTGACCTTCATGACCTTGGTAAGGTGAATTATAGTAAAAAAAAAAATTGATCTGGTTCAGCTATTGTACTCATGCAAAATCCATCAATAGCAGCAAATTAAGCCAAATGTTCTCCTAATTAAACTTTTTTTTTAATTATAAAATCAATTGTAGGTTAAACACAACATTTTTTATTTGGTGGCTCACCTTCAGATTCTTTTTTTAAATAATGTTGTGGATTTGGGTTCTCTAAATGTCTTTTCAACCCAACAATTGAACCGCCTTTGCATAATACTAATTTTTTATTAATTTGCATAATATTAACAATGTTTGCATTGTGCTTCATCATTGTTATTGAGATTAAAATAATTTTAAAATTCATGCAATACATTTATTAAAAATAAAAACATTTTGTCTTTTTAGGCTACCAATAGTTCAGGGCGGTACTTATACATTTGTTGCTTCCATAATGGCAATAATGGCGTCTAAAGGTGATTGCCCTTCCAAAATGAATGGTATGACATTGTAAAGTATTTTAATTTTTTTTTTTTAGTTTAATTTTTATAATAATAAATATTTATTATTAAAAATCTTATATTGATAGACACAAAAGCCAATAATGCTAATGTAAACACTAGCAAACAAGCTAAAAGATTTGTTACCAATTGTTTAAATTGTTTGATAAAATATTTTAAAATGTATCGCTAGCATTTAAACATTTTACTTGTAACAAGGCGTTAGGCTCTTGACTGATTACTGAGCCCTAAAAATTAAATATTTCTTTTAATGATGATAGTTTTGGCCAATAATTAGTGACCAGGAATGCAGAGTCTAGAGTTCCATAGTCCCTATTTTTACCTGGAGTTTTTTATTAATTTAGAATTGTTTTGGCAACAATTGCATAACTTCTAACCAGTACAAATGTACTAGATCGCACACTCTACAGGAAGGCCTGCAGCATATAAATTATTCAAAGCTTACAGCTTTCTTATTACATACATTGTTACATAGCATAGCTTAAGGTATACCATGTTTATAAAGTATATAAGGCATTTTAGATGCACAAAAAATGAATGTGGTGTACAAAGTTTTTTGAGACTGATAGTTCTTGAATTATACTTAAACACAAGTTTCTATACATTCAAACATTAAATACTAACCAGCAGGCTTTCACAGGAAGACGTGCGATTTCATGTCTTTATATGACCACGCAAAAAAAAAATGTTTTAATGATTTGACCACGGCATGTTTCAAAAATTTAAAAATGCGCTACAAAAACTTACCTAAACTTATCTGAAAAAAAAATAAATAAATATTAACGAAAGAGAAAATAAAATAAAATATACTTAGTTAAAGCAAAAACACACAAAAATAAATATATATATATATATAACGCAACTAAAACAAAACTCATCAAACTAAAATGCTTAGTCTATTTAATTTACGCATTAAAAAACCTTTTCAATCTTTGTTTCAACATTTTTATATATTTTTTATTTGTTTAGTATGTTCAAAAGTTAAATATTTCTCATAAAAAATACATAGTTATATAAATAAAATAAAAAAACATTTTATAAATACTTTTTTTTAAATTAATTAGAAGTGTTTTTTTTTTACTTCATTAAAAGCGTTTTGATAATATAAAAGCATTTAAGATCAAACTTATTAAATTGTAACGGTTTTCTAAAACTTTTTTTTTTAACAAAATTTTGTTTATCTTTTAAAATTTTGTTTATCTTTTTAAACTTTAATCATTCTTATATTTAAATTCGTTAAAGAGACTTTCGTAGTCGTAGAATGTCATCATTTATAAAACCAAAATAATTTTTTATTTTTTAATAAGATTTATTTTAGAAATGAACAGGAACAATTTATATGTTTTAAATTAAAAAAATATACACAACTGTTATTTATATTTAAAAAACAAAACTTTTTTTCAGTAAATTGTTACTTTATTTAAAATCGTTTCGCTAATATAAAAACATTTGTTAAGAAGTTTTGATGTAATTAATTTCACTTTTTTAGAATATTTTTTATTTTGCGCGTTTCTAAAATGTTTTTTGAATTAGCCACGGTCAAACCGTTATAGCAAAATGTAATTTGCGTGGTCGTGTAAAGACGTGAAATCGCACGTCTTTGTATGACCAATATATTTCATAATCTGTGAAAGCCTGAACCAGGGTAAATCCATAATAGCAAATTAAATAAAATTTTCGAAAGCATTTTATTATAAAGTTGTAAACAATCCTAAACAAATTTAAATATTTATCATCATTTTACTGGGGTGAGTTGAATTACAAAAATGCTAATGTAGATAGATTTTTTTTTTAAGAATTTTTTAAAGTCTTTTTTAAACAAAAGTTAAAAATTTTGAATTCAAAATGGTCAGGTATCAATTTTTAGCCACATTTTTCCACTAGATTTTAAATTATTCATTAAAAAGTACTACTACAAAGTCCATAATGGCAGATGTGAATGTGGAAAAAAATAGGGCATTTTAGATATAGGTACCACTGGTTGAAATTTGAATGAAATCTGAGAGGGTGACTGAAAAATTTCAATATTTTGTCCCACTTTTTTGAACAATTACCCTTGAAGTATTGTTCAAAAAAGAGTTTAATTAAAATCTTTTATTTAGATCCACTTATTAAACTTTTGTAAGTTTTAAGTTTCACATTATTTAATAAATTTAATCAGTTTATTTATATGTGATTTAATGTTATGATGTTTTGTGGTATTGTTTTAGCTAACTTCAATATGACATCCAACATGACAAATACAGGTTAATATTTTGTTTTTTATATTTATTTTGTTCAACTTTCAATTATCAGGAGTTTATCATTCCTGATATAATATAGACCACTGGACTAATTCTTCTCTAATATTTTCGTATTTTGCTGTCAAAAAAATATATAAAGATTTTAATCTAATTGAAAGTTGAACAAAAAAATTTCATTTTTTTTTATTTTGGTTGTTTTAAAAATAAATGATGCATTTTTTAAATTTATCTTCAAATCTATAGATCCTGAATGGAAACTTCGTATGCGTGAGGTGGGTCTATAAAAATTAGGTTTATACAATTTTTGTTTTTCATCAAGTCTAAAAAAGCTTATTTTTATTTGAATTAAGCTTAAAACAAAAATCTATAAAATCCTAAATCTCTATGAAAAATTCTACCTGCTTTTAGCTTTGTTTTTTTCTTGACAATTTATATGATTGTATGGTAAAAATGAGATATGATTGTATGGTAGAAGTGAGATATGTTTGTATGGTAGAAGTGAGATTATTAATATATAGAAGATATGATTAATAAAAGGAATAAATATAATAATATATAAAGTTCATGTTACCGGAATTAAGTGCAGTCTCTCATTATATAGAGTTCTTAGACAGAGGTATGGGTAACACAGTTTACATACATCAACTAAGAGTTTTGGTTAGGGCAGGCTTGTCTAAATGACAGATTTGTCCCAAAATTTATATTCTATTTGAATTTTAAACGTTTAAGAATTATATTTAATGAATGATTTCACTTATATCCTGTAACTACTAAAATCTTTTATTTTGCATGTTATTTTTTTAAGTTTCTTTATGTGTGTGTTTTAGATTCTTTTAATTTTTGCTCATGCTAGGTTCAAGGGGCTATAATTGTTGCTTCATTTCTTCAAATATTTATCGGACTCAGTGGGATAATTGGTTATGTTTTAAAATATATTGGTCCTTTAACGATTGCTCCTACTATATGCTTAGTGGCACTTCCTTTGTATTCAACTGCAGGATATTATGCAGGTTATTTTTTTGTTGTTGTTGTATATGCAAATATATATTTTTTTGATTTGTGGAGTAAGTTGTTCTTCTAGAAAGAATTTAAAACCAAAAATTTAGTATATATAGTGTTTAACAATATTAACAGATCATTGCTTTTTATTATTATTCTAAAATTTTTGTAAATCTTTTATATTAATATATTTTGAAAATACTTATCAAAATATTTTTGGGTAAAAATATTTTTTAAAAGCCAATTGCTTCATTTTGTCATTAAAAAACTTTAAACTATTTGATAAATTACTTTAAATAATTTAGAACTTCACAATATGTTTGGTTCGCATGATGTTATATTGTAAAAGATTACATGTAGATTGATTGATTGATAGATTACATGTAGATTGATTGTTTGATAGATTGCATGTAGAATAATTAATTGATAAGTTACATGTAGATTGATTAGTTACATTTAGATTGATATATTGATACATTAAATGTTGATCACTTGTCTAGTATTAAAAATATATTTAAAGTTACTTGTGTTCATCAAAATTGCTGTACCAACTAAGCATAACAGGTGATGCATAAGATTTATTTTGATGTAATTTATTTTAGCTAATATAACACTCATGTGTTTTATGTATAAACATATATGAAGTGTTTATTATTTAAAACACAAATGAACTAGATGAAAATCTTTTTTAAAAACATCTTTAAATTTTTTTTTTGTAAAAAAATCCAAAATAATAGTGAAATTGTAAATTATTCAACAAAAGAAGGAGTAGCTTAGCAACAAAAGAAGGAGTAGCTTAGCAACAAAAGAAGGAGTAGCTTAGAGTTTTAAAAGAGTTTCTGATCAAAGTGATCTGGTTGTTCTACATTCAAGAAAAAAAAACTGCAACAAAAGAAGTTTTAGAGAAAATTGTGTTTTAAATTTGATTTAAATCAAACAATGGTTTGTCAATTGATTTAGTTATTGATGACATTTTCTGTATATAATATTCATTTTTGATAAAAATGAATATTATATACAGAAAGTGTGAAAAAAGCGTCTACTGACACAAATAATTGTTGAATAACAAATAAAAAATAGAGAAGTGAAAAACTTGTTATCAAGCTTTATAATATGAAATCACTTCTACCTCACACAAAAAAAATAGCCTCCTCTACCTTAATTGGTGACCTTCTTGGCCTTATATGGTGAATAACATTAAAAAAACAAAAATCATTAATCATTATGTGGTTCATAGTATGTTCAAGCAATTGCTTTCAGAGCTGTAACAATCAATTCATCAATGTATGTTAATGAATGTTTAGAAAAATGACTTTTTCCATTCATTCACAAATATTATGGTAACTAACTATTTATTTTAGACAGATTTAGTAAGTTCACATTAGATTAAAAATTATTTTGGTTGAATGAATGTGTAAATTATGTTGATAAAGAATCCAACCCTCTAAATATGCTTCAGTTAAAATTATTTGAAGACATTCGGGTCAAAAGGTTTACAATGTATGTTGACAAGCTTTAACTGAGCATATTTTGATTAATTGCATCATATTAACACTAGAAGAAATTGATTTGAATATTTTACAGTTATTTATGGAATGTGTCAAAGCAAAATTGATAACAAAGTTGATTAAATAGATCTATTGCATCATTTGCAAGAAAAAACAGATTTTTTAATATTTAGTTTTAGTATAAAATCTATTTTATATATATATATATATATATATATATATATATATATATATATATATATATATATATATATATATATATACATATATATATATATATATATATATATACACATATATATATATGTATGTATGTATATGTATAGTTTCTTATATATAATATATTTTTTCTTCATTTAAAAATATATGTCAACACTAAAGATGTATATACATCTTTAGTGTTGACATCGTGTATAAGAGTATATGTTATATTAATAATAATATGTGTATATATGTATATATATATATATATATATATATATATATATATATATATATAATAATATATATATATATAATAATATATATATATATATAATAATATATATATATATATATAATAATATATATATATATATATATATATATATATATATATATATATATATATATATATATATATATATATATATATATATATATATATATATATTGGTAAAAAAAAGTGTGGCTAAGAATATTTATCCCCAAAATGTGAAAGACAAAATTATTTTAAACCCGGAAGTTCTTATCCTTAAATATAATATTTTTAAAAACCACACTAATGTACAGTGAGAACTTAAAGAGAACATGTTATGAAAATCTTTTAGTCGTTAATCTTGTTTTTTTTAATTTTCTTTTTTAACATGTTTTTTTTTAAGGATCACAATGGTTTGTTGCAATGTTGTAAGTATCTCAGTTTTTTAAAAATATTTTTTTAATATTTTTTAAATCATAAAAAAAAAAGTTGTTTACAACATAATTTTTTATATTAATTGTTTATTTTAGGACAATGTTTTGTATTATACTCTTTTCGCAAGTTCTTAAGAAATATAGTCTACCATTGTGTAAAACTAGAATACACATATTTGAATTGTTTCCGGTAATTATAATAATTTTTGTATTATTTTTCGTATTTATGCACATTTTTTTATAACAAAAAATTTTGTAAATTCTGTGTGTGATGGTGAGGAATACATAGTTTTATTAAAACTTTCATTTTTGAAAAGGTTTCACTTTTTAGTAGTAGTTTTGTTGCATATATAATATGAATTTTTTTTTTTAACATTTTTATTTCTACCCCTACACCACTATGCCACTACACCATTTATCATGATATTTAGCGCAATAAAATTTGGTCAGTTTAGTCAAAAAAAACAATTTTTATTTTTAAGTTTATTTAATCATAGTAAATAACATAAAGAATAAGGTAAATATGGTAACATACAAACAATAGATACTGTATGCTTAAACTTAAAGTTGATGTATGTACTGAAGCCTCACAGATGGTTATTTTAGTACAATGTCATCAACAATACTTTGTGCACAGCTAAGTTCACATGTAAGTATTTGTATTTAGGTATTAGGAGATTTTAAATCTTAACGAAGTACCTAAAAACACTTTCAATTTTTTTCAAGCTAAAATGTAAATTCATTTAAATGTTACATTAATTTTAATTTAGGTATTATTTGCAATGATTGTTGGCTGGATTCTTTCTTATATTTTAACTGCAACTGGTTTATTGAAAAAAGACTCGCCTGCCAGAACAGATTACCGCAGTAATGTTTTCGCTCATACTGAATGGTTTCGTGTTCCATATCCTGGTAAATTAACAAAAAAAATAAATTTTTAATTTTTTTGTATGGTTAGTTAAAAAAGGAAGACCCCAGAGTCCAAAGTTTGGAATAATTTAAAAAAACAAGGTCTTGGCTCGAATTTTTTTTTTAAATAGATTTTTTTTTATTCCACAGAATTGATTATTTTAAAATATTATTTTTTGTTTAGGCCAATGGGGTGCACCATCAATATCTGCTGCAGCAGTGTTTGGTATGCTTTCAGGTGTTTTGGCCTCTATGGTTGAATCTATTGGAGACTATTATGCATGTGCTCGTATGTCAGATGCCCCTCCTCCACCAAATCATGCAATTAATAGGGGTTTGCTTGTAGAAGGTATAGGGTGTGTGATTACTGGCATTTGGGGAACTGGAAACGGTACAACATCTTATAGTGAAAATATTGGTGCAATTGGAATAACAAGAGTGAGTTTTTTTTAATTAGAATTTTTTAGAATATTTTTTTGCTATTTACAGGTTGTTTTTTTTTTTTTTTTTACTGAAAACCACATGAAAGTAGGAGAGACTAGAACTTTTTTCTTGAGACAAATAAAATGTTTTTAATTAATATTATTGAAAGATAAGCCTAAATGGGGTTCTTCCTGATAGGTATGGTTTGTTGAAGCTGACTTTTTTTTTTACCATGCACCCCAAAAACCACATTGACTGATTCAGCTATAGTTTCTTAACTGTTAAAAGTTAGAACCTGATTTTTTGAAGAAGTTTGTTATAATAAATTGCTCTTAAGATGATTGCATAACTGTTAACTTATATTTCAAACTTATATATTGAACACTATAAATGTGCTAGAAAAAACACATCATATACACCCCAAATCCCACATTTGTTTTTTGATAATTTTGAAAAATATTTGAAATAATTTAATAAAATATTAATATAGATTACTAAGATTTTCTATTTTTTATCCATAAAAAAGTTTAATTTTTTATTTTAATTTATTGCGGAAATACTGCCATAAAGGATGATATGTTTTTTTTGTTTGTTCGTCATTTTAGTGTTTAGTTTATTATATTTATAGAATTTATTAATAGTGAGTAAAATGAAACCAACATCTCCATTACATTTATGTATAAACAAAGTAAAAAATCTTAGTACAAAAGCTGATGTCACTGTTGCTAGAAAATATGAAAGCTGATGTCACTGTTGCTAGAAAATATGAAAGAAATAAGCAACTAGAAGCCGCTATAAATTGGTGCAAAGAAATGAAATTTTTGTTTTGGGAGGAGACAAGCAGCATTAAAGACTGGTATATTCCTCTTATAAGATCAAGATAATCAACAGACGATTTAAAAAGTGATTAATGGGCAAGAAAGAAGTTATTGTACTATACTTATAGAAGATGAAGAGGTATGTATTATTCGTTTTATAAAAAAAAGAACAGGTGTATACAAACAATTAATAAACAAAATGTAACCAAATTAACTCTAAATGTGCTACATATTAGACATTATAATACAAAGATGAAGGATGGAAGCAAGTTTTATAAACTATCATTAAATGCTCGAGCTGCACTGTAAAAGAGAAGTAAGTTGGAATAAAATCATTAAATCCTATGAAATTTAAATCAGAATCATCTTTATATTTAAACCTTTTTTTAATCTAACTATTCCTTTTATATAGCGGTCCTCTTTTTTGGGTTGAGACGATCATTTTGGCTCCGCTTTAATGTAAACATAGCATAACCAATTCTGGATTATTTTATGCTGGCAAAGAGGATGTATGTCAAAAAATGTATAGAGAAAATAGAGAATGTGTCACTATTCAACCATTTGTTGTTGTTTTCAGATATGGAACAATATATGTGCTTTAAATGATTTTTAATTTCTTATTTTAAGGCAATATATGTATGTGTTAGGTGATATTTTAATGTACTGGTATTACAAGTTGTATAGTTCCAACAGAAGCAGCAAATCCACATTTATTGGTTATTACATCAGAAAATGGAGTATCAAATCATGAATTGTTATTGGCAGCATTGAAAGAATTTGATGTCTACTTAAATGAAAAAAATGTTAAGTAACCCATCAGCTTATTTTCAGATGGACATAGCTCAAGACCAGAGTTTAATGTTTTATCTTTTCTTGAGTTAAAAAAAATTTGTCTCTTTATCACTCCACCAGACACAACTCCACTTAACTTCTTGACCAAGTAAATAAGAACATTCATAGCGAGTATCATTAGCAGAAAGACTATGTTTTTAGATATCTGTTCCTTAAACAAAGAAACTTTTATGTTAGTTCTAACTAATATATGGAACAAATGGACAACCAAAGAAATTATCATAAAATCTACTAGAAGAGTTAGTGTTACTGAAAATTCATTGAGAGTTGAATTTATGCAAAAAGATAACTTTGAAAGAAAATTGTGTTGAAGCTGAGAAACTGTCATCTTTATTTCTTTGCCTGATAAAAAACATGGTTTAGCAAGTTATTGAAAATCAAAATTTGAACAAGATATGGAACTGATTGATGAACTTCATGAAAAAAGTATACAGCTGGAAGAAATACCAGGTTTTATGACAACCAAAAAGGTCAAGCCTAAATTATCAAAAGACGTGACACTTGTTACTAGGGCTGTGGAGTCGAAGTTGGAGTTGCAGAGTTGCAACGTTTTTAGCGGAGTCAGAGTCGCTAAACAAAATCATGACTCCGACTCCAATAGTAAAACTTCTCGGTATTGCACGTGCATACACAAAACATTCAATTAACCTTATTTTCATACTAAATCTCAAAGAACGTTTCATAAATTTGTCAAAAATTATGTCAAAAATTAAATCTTATTGCATAATATTTTTTTAAGAATTCAAAGAATTTTTGAAAAATTTTGCTTTGGAGTTGTTTTGTAGTCAGAGTCGGAGTTGGAGTCGGAGTTGTACTCAAAAGATTTCATCAACTGGAGTCGGAGTCGTTACTTTTTTTTTTACAACTCCACACCCCTGCTTGTTACCCAAGTGCATGGTTACTAAGTGCATGGACAGCAAACAATGTATCAGCTGTAGTTGAAACCATAAAAAGGAAAAAAGAAAAAAAGTTAAAAGAAAAAGAAGATGCTGCAAAAAAGAAAGAGGAAGTTAAAAAACTTTTTATTAAATATATGTTTCAGTATAATTGTGGAGACATAAAATTTAAAGCTTTCGGCTTTAAGTAGTGTCCAACCTGTCTTGATGTTATGAAGTCTGTTTGCAACAAAGTAAGTTGTAAAGTAAATGAGCAAAATCCAGAAATGATCTTATTAGCAGGTGCTAGAAAGAAATGATGGAAATATTTTTATGAGATATTTATATATATTTTGTGCAAATTTAGTGAGAAAGATTGATTCTGGTTAATTTTTTTTTAATGCACCCCAAAAACTACATGTTGAATTGTACATTTTAAAAGTTTTTTTTTACAAGTTTCCCTTCTACTTAAAATGCAAATGGTTTGATTTATATATAGAGTATATAAAAGAAAAGTTAACTAGATTGGATTTGCAAACTTAGTCTAAATAACTACTATTTTATAACAATTATTCTTAAAAATTCCAAAAAATTTATACAATTATTTTAACTTTTAAATGCTTGTAAAAAATCTTCCTTTATTGATATCTTTGTTTTCTTCTATTTTAATTGTCGATGGACCATTCATGTATCAAAAAACATTTCTTTTATGTTTTTCAATTACAGATTTTAATTCTTGACTGACGGCTGTTTTTTGGATGCCTTAGTTTTTGGGGCATATTCACCTGTAGATACATTCTAAATTAAAATTGGAACTTATTAACCTTTACGTTTATTAAGTTATATAAGTTGAATTCGAAAAAATTGTTTTTTAAATTGATTTACAAATAATCAAAAATGTTAATATTACTAATGTTTTAAGTAATGTATCCAATATCTTTTATTGGTTCAAAAAAATTAACAACAGATTAAAACATTATGTTTAGTCAAAAATAACTTCAATAAGAATGCATTTTGAGGTACTTAGATTTTATGTAATTGATGTGTTTATGGATTTAATTTTTTTTTTTTTTTTGAATTTTTCCTAACCTCCACTTGCCTGTAACCAAAATTTTATATGAGTTATTTAATTAACACCTTTGTCTCTTCTTCAATGTTGAAACAGTTTCGTGTTTAAACAGTTAAATGTTAGAACAGTTGAACAAGTTTCAGGTAATTACAAAGTCTTAAAATCTTACAGAGAAAAACCAATAAATATTTATGTAGTTTTTATCATTTTGTTACAAGTTACGTTTCTTTCGTTTGTTTCTTGTCTTAAACCCTATAAGAAAATAAAGAAGACTGCCTAAATAAATGTGTAACTATATTTTTTTAAATTCAAATGTTGTTTCTTCATTCGTGTTAAAAGTTTATATTAGTCATAATATTTTTTTAAGTTTATTCAAATCCTGGTTTTCATTCATTTAGGTAGCTAGTGTTACTGTTATACAATGTGGTGCAGTTATTATGATTTTATTATCTGTTATTGGAAAGTTTGGAGCTATTTTTGCTTCTATTCCACACCCAGTGATAGGTGGTATGTTTATCATCATGTTTGGAATGGTGTTTGCATTTGGAATCTCTTCATTGCAGTTTGTTGATTTAAATTCAATGAGAAATTTGTGTGTACTTGGGTGTTCATTTTATTTTGGAATGGCGTTACCATCATGGGTTAAAGTTCATGGGCATTCAATTAACATTGGTAAAGTTATTTTATAATTTTTAAATTTATTATCTTTTTTAAATTTGTCTAAAACTTTACTAGTAGTCATTAAAAATTTTAAGTTTCAAATATTTTATTAACTTTTTTTATTAAAGAGAAAGTATATATATATATATATATATATATATATATATATATATATATATATATATATATATATATATATATATATATATATATATATATAACAGTTGGGCTGAAAAGTTCGTATCGTTTCTAAGAAATGGCGCCTCTAGAATTAAATTCATACCATTTTTAGTTAGTACCAACCTTGAAAAGATACGTGTAAAAATTTGATAGCTGTCAGATTATTAGTTTGTGATATATTGCTCTAGTAGTGACGCTACTTTTGTTATTGTGAAAAAAATGGAAAAAAAAGAACTTTCTGTGTTGATGAAACATTACTTTTTAATGAAAAAAAGTGCTGCCGATACCAAAAAATGGCTTGATGAGTGTTATCCAGACTATGCACCAGGCGAAGCAACAATTCGTAAGTGGTTTGCAAAATTCCGTACTGGTCATATGAGCACCGAAGACGATGAACGCAGTGGACGCCCAAAAGAGGCTGTTACCGATGAAAATGTGAAAAAAAACCACAAAATAATTTTGAATGATCGTAAAGTGAAGTTGTTGGAGATAGCTGACACTTTAAAGATATCAAAGGAACGCGTTGGGCATATTATTTATGAATATTTGGATATGAGAAAGCTCTGTGCAAAATGGGTGCCGCGTGAACTCACAATCGATCAAAAGCAACAACGAATTGATGATTCTGAGCAGTGTTTGGAGCTGTTACATCAAAATAGAACCAATTTTTTTGTCGATACATAACAATGGATGAAACATGGCTCCATCACCACACTCCGGAGTCCAATCGACAGTCAGCTGAGTGGACTGCACGCGATGAACCGACTCCAAAGCGTGGAAAGACTCAACAATCGGCTGGGAAGGTTATGGCCTCTGTTTTTTGGGATACGCATGGTATAATTTTCATCGATTACCTTGAGAAGGGAAAAACCATCAATAGTGACTATTACATTGCGTTATTGGAGCGTTTGACGGATGAAATTGCAAAAAAACGACCTCATTTGAAGAAGAAAAAAGTTCTGTTTCATCAAGACAACGCACTGTGTCACAAGTCAATGAATACGATGCTTAAATTGAACGAATTGGGCTTCGAATTGCTTCCTCATCCACCGTATTCTCCAGATTTAGCCCCCAGTGACTTTTTCTTGTTCTCAGATCTCAAGAGAATGCTCGCTGGTAAAAAATTTAAGAGTAATGAAGAGGTGATCGCTGAAACTGAAGCCTATTTCGAAGCAAAGGACAAATCGTACTACAAAAATGGTATCGAAAGTTGGAAGATCGCTATAATCGCTGTATTGCCTCTGATGGAAACTATGTTGAATAATAAAACCGAATTTTGAAAAAAAAATGTGTTTTTCTATTAAACGATACGAACTTTTCAGCCCAACTGTTTTATATATATATATATATATATATATATATATATATATATATATATATATATATATATATATATATATATATATATATATATATATATATATATATATACTCTTGCATGGTAGTCAGAAAGAGTTTCCCATGAACTGTAGTTTTAAAGAGCGCGTTATGTTTGCAAAAATAATACAAATAAATTTGTTTTGCTGCTTGTTAAAGTAATACTACATTGTACTTTTTCAATTAAAGTAGAAAAACGCAGCTTTGTGTAATTACACTTTTCATTTGTTAAAAATCTACAGTGACGTCAAATACTAAAACTTTTATGAATTAAACGCACATCAAAGGAACCGCTAAAGTCTGTAGATTGCGACGTATAATTTGAAGACTCCGATTTATTGAAAAAAATGAAGGCGAGCTTCGGCTAAAACAACAACATTGGTTTTTCTCGGTATGCATTCATTATTTATTTTTAATCAAAAAAACTTGGTTCAAACCTTTTTTTTATAACATTATCTTTAATCTGAACCAAATATGTGTTGGGAGTTTAGGATCCCTTTAAAGCAAAAAAAATATTTTTAATTAAAAATAGTTATTTCAAATTATTTTTATAATTAAAGATATAAAAAAACATATTACAAAACTTGGCAATTTTGTTTGTTTTTGTATTGCGTTTGCTCATTTATAATTTCTTCACACTCGAATTTGCTGAGAAATGCTCCTACCTTTAAAATATAGTCATTTTTATCATTTGTATCCATCAAAACACTATTGGTTTATATAAAAACTAATTTTTTTACGCGTTCGTTTGTCAAGTGATTTCTCAATCGTGAATGAATAAGTCAAAAAAGTTGACCAAGTTCTCTCTGCTGTTGCTGGCGAATAAATCATTTCAACAATAGGTTTTGCAACTTCAAAGACTGCTGGATATTTCTGACGACCAACAATATTCCAATAATTCTTTGCGTTCATTTTGAAAATCGTCTCTTTTCTTTTTTCTGTCAGTGTTGTCATTTTTCCAACAAGCTCATTCATTTCACTTCCAACTGTCTCAGCAACTGTTGGATTTGTTTTATAGGCTAATTCTGAAATTTAACTGATTATATCAGTCTTATCTTTACCAAAATAGAATCCTTCTGCAGCATACTTTGGTGTCAGCATATAGGCGATTCCCATATTTGAGGTGATAAGAAATTTAAAGCGCTTCATAACCATTTCCTGAATATTTTCCTCATTTGCGAATTTCTGGTACATTCCACCAAAATAATAGTACACCAAAGATAATGAAGCATCATCATTTTCAAGTCTTCCAATGATGTTGGAAGGATATTCGATATCTTTTACAAGTTATGCTAAACTATCCTAGAAAGCATTTCATTTAATAAGTGTCAAAACAGCATCCGAATTTGTTTTAAGAGCAATTTCTTTCAAAGATGTATTTTCCTTATCCACAAGTTGAATCAAAACATAGTTTTAAAATGACTGAGTCATCAAGTCGAAACAGGCATTGTGAGTGAGCAATGAATATTAGCTGCAATTCTCATTTCATCAAACTTTGCTTTAACAATGTGATGATTTTAACAATGTGATGATAGCATCAGCAACAGCTGCAGTATTTTGAATTATGCCTGATGTTTTGAATAAAGTATAGAAAAACAGTTTTGTATTTGGTGCCTTTCGGTTTTGTATTTGGCGATGTGTTGATTGAAGTATACAAAAACGGTTTTGTATTGGTACAAAAATTCACTATATGATTGCCACTAATATTTGTCCAACCATCACTGACGAGCGTTAAATTTTCAGATGATTTGAGAATTTCTTCCAATTTAGTGGAGAATTCTGCGTACTTTTTATCAAGAAGAAAACCTGACAGCATTTTCGCGCACAGTATTGATGATGCATACAATGGATTAAGTGCTTTGATCAAATCCTTAAAAGCTTCAGATTCAACAAGACGAAGAGATATTCCAATTTCGAAAAAGAAGTTTGCTAATTTCATATTGATTTCTTTTTTTAATTCTTCAGGATTCATCACATTGTCGACTACTTTGTAAGTTTCAGCTGAGATTATAATGTCGTTGTCGAAGTTGATTTATGATTCGGCTTTTTGTTTTGCAAATAATTGTTTCTCATCTTCACTAGCGTTTAGACATCAGTTTTGTTTATGTGCTGCGATGGGATTTTTTGCCCATTGAACTGTCTTTTGGCAACACATTTATTAAAGCAATATAAATGGTAAATTTATTTGATTTATTTTTCAATAACAATTTAATAGATAAAATATAGAATAATAAGTAACTTTCATAGTTAACTTTAGTTCAGTAGTTATTTTTTTTTTTTTAAACTAAGTAAGACGAGTACTAAGGAGTTTCTCTTTCTTTAAGGAGTTTTGTTTTCAAGGAGTTTCCTATTTTAATAGTTCTCTTTTACTAATCTAGTACTAAAAGTTTCTTAAAGGTTTCTTAGGAGTTTCTTTAGAATAGAGCTTCTTGCATCAGTTTATTATTTATATTGACTTGAAAATAAATGCATAGTTACTAGTTATGAATTAGTTTCTACTGATGAGTAAAATAGCTACTTAATATCCTTACTTTCTATTCGTATTATTAGTAATGTCAGTCTGGATATACGCAACAAAATGGAAAAATCCAATTACATAAGAGTTGGAAGGACAGAACTTAAAAAGTCACGGACTTTGTTAAGTCAACAGAATCAATCATACTAACAAATGAGAGAGCAAGCGAGAAGGCATAAAAAACTGTTAACTTTTTTGCGTCAAAGAAGCTTCAAAAAATTGTTTCTGATTAAATATTTCTTCAAAATATTGTTTCTGGCTACGGATGGCATTTCAGTTCGAGTTATAACCAGAAAAAAATACATTCGCTAGTCAATAGCTTGAGATGGATTTAAACTCCTGGCTAACGATAGTGATTTAATGACACTTTTGCAAAAAGATTATGATGAAAAGCAAAATAAAATGATTGACACCATAAAATTAAAAGTAGCCAATAAAGAGAACTTTAACATGACTGTCAACAAGGTTACTACTTTATAAGGACAAAGATATTTTGGAGTTCATGATAAAACTGGCAATATCATGTATAAATCAAGATTAAATCGAATTTTGGGTTCATGTAGTGCACTTGATATGGTTGAAATAATGAAACAACATTTAAATGTGTTTGGAATATCGATATAAAAAGGTTTGGTTGCATCTACTCAGGATGGAGCATCTGTAAGCAAGAAATATATTAGAAATTCAGATGTTATTGGTCAATTTTGTCTTAATCATGGTATACATCTTGGAGTATGTGACACACTTTATATGAAAAAACATGTTATTGAAGATTTAAGCGACCCCTGTGATGAGGATAACAATGAAAAAGATTCTTTTGACGAAGGCACCAATTTTGAATTTATAAATGATGATCGTGAATTATATCTCTCATATATATCTCACATCTCTCATATATATCTCACATCTCTCATATATATCTCACATCTCTCATATATATCTCACATCTCTCATATATATCTCACATCTCTCATATATATCTCACATCTCTCATATATATCTCACATCTCTCATATATATCTCACATCTCTCATATATATCTCACATCTCTCATATATATCTCACATCTCTCATATATATCTCACATCTCTCATATATATCTCACATCTCTCATATATATCTCACATCTCTCATATATATCTCACATCTCTCATATATATCTCACATCTCTCATATATATCTCACATCTCTCATATATATCTCACATCTCTCATATATATCTCACATCTCTCATATATATCTCACATCTCTCATATATATCTCACATCTCTCATATATATCTCACATCTCTGGATGTTGAAAGAGTATTATTCTTGTGTGCTAACTTTTGTACAAAAATAAGATCACAACTTTGAGATAAGTCATTATCAGCTCTTGTATTTTTGAAATACTATTATAAAATGTAAAGTTTTTGTTAGGATATATATTATTTGAAATATTTTACTCATGCCTGCTTAAAACAAGTATGGTGGGTAGGGGTAATAAAGGAGAAGGAGGTCTGAATTTCAAAAACAGAAAAACAGCTGTTAACAGCTGTTTATGAAAATTATAAAACAGTAAAATAGCTGTTTTTTAAAAACCACTGTTTTTCAGAAACCCTAATTAAAACTAGTATTAAAACTCATTTTTTTGTCTGTCTGTCTAGTCAAATCAATTTAACGGTTTTTAATGATTTGAAAGCGGAAAAAAGTTATATGCATAATTATGCGACTGTATGCACACTATTTATCAGCGAATATCTGCGCATACAAATTTTTCTAAACCCTACAATTTTTTTCCGACCTCAAACACTTTTAGGTTGGCAGTTGGTTGACATTGCTGAATGCTGAACCTAATTTCGAGGGTTGATAATAAAACTGTTTTAAAAAATAATAAAAATATTTTATAAAATAATAAAAATTTCAAATAATGAAATTCAGAGTTATGACTTGTTTTTAACATTATCATTTATAATTCAATTTATATAGTTATTTTTATGTTTAATTTTTTATCTTTGTTATTATAAATATTCTAGTATTTCTACTACTAATCTATTTTCTAAATCTCTCTAAAAATTTTTATTTAATCATTACTTATGCAATACTATTTATTATCTTATTAATATTGATATTAATATTGTTGTTAGTTATTTACTTTTTTAATTTGTATAAATGAAAATTTAGGTGTGGAGTGGTTAAATCAAGTAATTCGCGTTTTGTTGATGACCAATATGGCTGTAGGAGGACTAACTGGTTTCGTTTTAGATAACTTGCTACCAGGAACTTCTCAAGAAAGAGGTATCATTAAATGGCAAAATAATTTAATGCCAGATGGCCATCCAGTAACTATTTCATCTATTCATGTTTATGACCCTCCATTTTTAACAATGAAGTTTATGACATCAAAGGTATGTAAATATATTCCATTTCTACCTTATTATGGTGACCAAAATCTGTTGGAGCAAGATGAAGGATTATGATTGGTTTAGAATTTTAGTTTATAAAATTTTTTGTCAAATTTTTTTACCCTTTTAAATCTAAAAAAAAAAAAATCATTAAAAAAATCTTTAAAAAAAAATTAATATAGTTTATACTTTTTTAGTTTGTATTTGCAAAAAAATTTTAATACTTGTATGAAATTTATATATTTTTCTACTTATTGCATATGTAATTATATTTTATTTATACCTTTATATATTTTATATACCCTTTTTATATACTTGTACACAATAGAGGTTTTTGTATTTGTAGACAATTTTATATTCGAAATGTAGGTTTTTATATTTTATACAATTTATATATATATATATATATATATATATATATATATATATATATATATATATATATATATATATATATATATATATATATATATATATATATATATATATGTTCACAATTTAGATGAAATTGTAAAAGATTTTGTTTCTAATAAAAATATATATTTGTAAACTATCTAGCTTTGTTTATGTTTAGAATAATGTTAATTAAAAATATAATTGGTTTTTTTTATTTTTTATTTCTGATTTAATTAGTATTATTTAACTAATATTGTTAATAAGACAATAAATATTTTCATATAAAAAAAAAATTATTTTGTTTTGAACAGTTTTAAAAATAGTTCACTTAATAGTTCAATTGTTGTTCATTTTTAACAAGTTTTTAAAATAGCTTTTGGAAAATGGTTGATATTTCATTTTTTGAATCTGAAGTTTTTGCTGTGTGTGTACAAGGATGTGCACTGGTATTAACAATTGGCTATTTTTTAACTGGCAGGTAAAGTTTTAACAGATTTATAATTTTTAAAAGATTTTTGATATTGTCATGATACTTTATTACTTTTATCTGAACCAACCATTTAATTAGTCTCAAATAAGTTATTTATCAAGTTTAGATATTTTTTTACCACGCAAGTAGTTTATCGACCATATATGAGATTAATCAATTTCAATTATTTTATCATCGAACCATAAATTTTCTATATTTTATTCAAACAATTAGTTTCAAATTTTTGAACTTTTAGAAAAAAAAAAAAAAAAAAGCAACAGACAAATAAATTTTTCACTTGATTTGCAGAGATCTTATATCTTAGTCACATATGCATTAATTATAAACAGTATGTTTAATAAATTGATTGTAAACAATATTCATTTTTAGTGAATAATGATTCCATTATAATTACTTCACGTTCATCAGAAATTATATTAGGGAATACTAATCCAGCATTTTTGTTGAGAAGCTTTTTTATTTTTTTTTCTGAGTTTTTTATTTACTTTTTTTTTAATGATCTATTTATGGTAATTAAAAAAACAGATCTTTTATTAGGTATTTTTTCAAATTTAACTAAAGTTATTATATCCTGATACTATTTTATGTTAAATATCCTGTTATGTTAAATATTCTGTTATGTTAAATATCCTGTTATGTTAAATATCCTGTTATTGATTTAGCATAACTTGCATGAAGATTCATCACCAGAAGTCTGTAAAAAATGTGAATTTTTTGCCGTATTTAACAGCTTTTCTAAAGTTAGTAAATATTTTTAAATAAATGCTTTTTAGTTTTGCAAACATTTGTAATACCATGTATACTTATAGTTATTATTCTTATCATTTATTACTTATAATTATCAGAGACAATTCTACATGGGATGTTATAACCCTCCCCCTATCTCTCCAAAAAAGGAGATTTAAAGTTATAGGTAATTTTTTTGAGAAATGTAGTCGGTTAGTTGGGCATTTGACACATTTTAATTGGTTGATTTTTAGTTTGAATGACTTTTTTTAGAAAGCAGTTAGTACTTTTTAAGGATTTGCCCTCCGCTTTTTATTCCTACGATTCCCCCTGATTATTATTCTAATTACTTAGGATTTGCCCTTCGCTTTTTATTCCTACAATTCCCCCTAATTATTATTCTAATTACTTATAGTTATTGTTGTTGTGAGTGATTAATTACAAGTTGGTAAAAACATTAACTTTATTTGCTAGTCAAACAAAAGAAAACATAAAAGGTGTGAAACCCTATGTCATAGAATAATGGAAAATGTAGATATTTAAAAAAAATATTTAAAGATTTTTTTTTTTTTTTTTTATTTGCATTCACTCCCAACAAGGCTGCAAGCAACCACTATTACATTGGGAGTTACTAGGAAAAAAAAAACAGAGCTATAGAGCAAGGAAACGGTTGACAGAAGACTTGAAAAGTTGAAGGTTGTATGAGTCAGGAAAACATGAAGATGGGAGAGAGTTCCAAAGGATTGAAGTGCGGGGAAAAAAACTAGGTGAATAAAAGTTTTTAGAGCATGCAGGGACAGATACAGTAAAGGAATGAGACTTAGCTGAATGACAAGTAAAACGAGAATGAGTTTTAGTTGATGGAACTAGAGATGATAACTCTTTTGAGCAGTGACCATGATAGTATTTGTAGAAAAGAGAAAGAGATGCAACTTTACAATGATGGGAAAGAGGCTCAAGCTTAGCAGATAGTCCAGGTCCAGCAACATTACAATGCGTTTTTGGACCTTGTCAAGAAGAGAAAGTGAATCGTTAGAAGAACCAGCCCAAATATGACAACAGTATTCCATACAGGGACGAATAAGAGATTTGTAGAGGTAGAGAATGGAATCAGAAGTAAGGAAATGGCGAGCACGATAAAGAGAAGCAACCTTAGCAGAAGCTAATTTAGCAATCGATTGTATATATGGTTTCCATGAAAGGTCAGTAGTAAGCGATAATCCAAGAAGACGTAAGGAGGAGGACTCAGTAAGAGGATTGCCATTCATGAATATATAAGATATATATATAAGATATTTCAAAACAGTGGTAGGTCATCGCAAATGGCAGACGTATTTTTCTAACGGTAAAAAATAAATAAAAGAAAAAGGATAAGATAAACAGTTAATCTTTCATTTTCAATTCCCTAAAAAGTTTTTGTAAAATAGTTAAAAATCTGATTTAAATCAAACGCTTAAAAAAAAAAAATCAAATAAAAAAAAGAACTTCGAATTATTAAAAAAAAAAACACTTTAAACAAAGAAAAGAACGAAGAAAAAAAAAAAAAAAAGAAAGAAAGAAAGAGAAAGTAAACAAAGAAGAAGAAAAAAAGAAGAAATAAGTAAACAAACAAGAAAGAGAAGAACAAAACCAATTTTGAAGAGAATAAAGAAGATTGGTTATTCATTTATTTTTGCAATTTAATTTGTAATTATTATTTTTTAATATAATTATTTAACTTATTTGTTATTTTATTATTATTATTATTTTTTTTTTTTTTTTGCTTTTTCACATATTTTTTAATTATTTATTTATCATTAATTATATTCATTATTTCTAGTTAATAAGGTTTTCCCGTTATCTATTTTAGTTGTATTATCACGTATTATTTATTTATTAATCATTAGATTATCTATTTAGGAAGTTTTGTTATATATTTTATTATATTTAAATTATTTTACTATATATAATTTCATTATATTTTTTTATCATTATTATAACTTTATCATTATTATATATTGTTATACATTTATTTATTATGGATTTATATTATTTTAATTTTATCTATTGTTTATTATTTTATTTTAGTTATTAATTAATATTATAAACCTATACTCTTTATTTATAATTTCGATAATAATTAACTCGTACTACTACTGATTACTGTTGCTATTTATCCATTTACTGTTTATTGTTTGATTATTTTCTCTTTTATATTTCTATATTTTCTGTTCAATAAACGGCTTTACCATCTATATCATGAAAATTTGTCACCATTGCAAGTTTTGCAATAAAAAAGTAAAAGATAATCACAGAGCCATCCAATGCGATTGTTGCTCCTTTTGGATTCATGCAAAATGTATTCCAGTTGACAAACATGCTTACAATCTGCTTTCCAATGACTCTTCTGAATGGTTTTGCCCTAACTGCATATCAAACAATATGCCATTTGGCATACTCTCCGATTTGGAACTTAAATCAACTCTTTCCTGTAAGAATCCTTCTAATAAAATAAAATTTCATGAACCCCCTGATTATCTCAAAAACTTATTTAAAACCAATAACAATGTTTTTAATCCAACAACTAAATGCTGGTACAGAAATTTATCTTCATCTAAATATTTCTTCTCTTCCATTTCACATAAATGATCTCTCCAGCTTTGTTGGTACCATTAATACTTCTCCCATGGTAATATGAATTACTGAGTCTAATTTATATGCAAATGATTCTAATATAACTGACATTACCATACAAGGATATAACATTGAGCACTGTCCAACAGAATCAAAAAAAGGTGGTGCACTTCTTTACCTAAATTCAAATCTTAATTACATAGTTCGTATTGATCTCCAAATTTATGCCTCCAAATTTCTAGAGTCTATATTTGTTGAAGTTATATATCCACTTAAAAGTAATACCATTTTTGGATGTATATATCGGCATCCCTCTTTAAACATCACTGAATTTTTATCTATCCATTTTAATCCTCTCCTTGAAAAGTTAAGTCATGAAGCAAAAAATATTGTACTAATGGGCGATTTCAACATAGATTTATTGAATTATAGAGAATCACAAGTCATTTCTAATTATTTTGAACCTTTGTGCTCTCATTCCTTATTTCCAACCATAATTCTTCCAACACGTGTAACTGCAAAAACTAAAACCCTTATTGATAACATCTTCATGAATTTGTTTCCTACTGATATAGTCTCTGGGAATCTTACAATTTCATTCTCTGACCACATGGCACAATTCGTCTGTATTCCTAATAACCCACTCATTAAAAAAAAGTAAAAATATTTAAAAGAAGCTTTAAAAAATTTGATTCTGATTCTTTTATCCAAGAAATTTCCGATATTAACTGGGAGCTTTTCATAAAAGACGATGATAACATAAACAAATCTATAAATTTTTTTCTTAAAACATTAAAAAAAATTTTAGACCAATATGCTCCTTACAAAGAACTAACAAAAAAACAAATTAAACTTCAATCTAAACCCTGGATAACTTCTGGTATTCTTAAATCAATTTCTAATAAAAACATACTCTATAAAAAATTTACTAGATCAAAAAATGTGAATACAAAAAATATATTATTTACTAAATTTAAGTTATACAGAAATAAAATTAGCAATTTGTTAAGGTATTCTAAAAAATTGTACTATGCATCTTTTTTCAAGAACAACATCAATAATGTAAAGAATACCTGGAAAGGAATTAAGGAAATCATAAACATCAAACCATCTACTTCTACTAAGTCTTTTAACCTCAAAATCAATGAAAATGTCATCTCAGATCATACCAGTGTTGCTAATATATTTAATAATTATTTTACAACTATTCAAGACGAACTACTTAAAAATACTGTTCCCTCTAAATGTGCTTTTGGCAACTTTCTTAAAATACCTAGTATTAATTCTTTTTTCATTGATCCTGTGACTGAAAATGAGGTGGCGAATCTCATTAAAGATACTCTTAAAAATAATAAAAGCTAAAGCTTTTATTATTTTTACTAAAGCTGGTATCTCACATAATCTCCAAACCTCTATGTACTATGATGAATAATTCTTTAATATGATGATGAATAATGGTATTTTTCCAGAAGCTTTTAAGGTAGCCAAAGTAATTCCTATACACAAAATGGGCTCTTATCTAGACTATATTGACCTATTTCACTTCTTTCTAACTTAAGTAAACTATTTGAAAAAGCAATGTTCCAAAGACTCGAGCATTTTTTGGAAAAACATAAATTTATTTACAAACACCAGTATGGTTTTCGCAACAAACACTCAACAACTCATTCATTAATAGAAATAACAGAGAAAATTAGACAAGCCATCAATAATAAACACTTTGCGTGTGGAGTGTTTATTGACATAAGAAAAGCATTTGATACAGTTGAGCACACAATCCTCTTAGAAAAATTGAAACACTACGGTATAAGAGGTATTCTTTTTCTCTGGTTTTCCTCTTATCTTGGTAATAGAACACAATTTGTTTCAATTAATGGTATCAACTCAGGACTAGCTAAATCTTTTAATGGTGTTCTGCAAGGCTCGGTTTTAGGTCCATTACTTTTTCTTATTTTTATCAATGATTTAAATATTTCTCTTAAATTTTCTACTGCTTATCACTTCGCGGATGACACCAACTTACTCCTAATTAATAAATCACTTTAAAAACTTAACAAAAAATTGAATCACGATCTAGCTAATGTTGTTCAATGGCTCCGCTCCAATAAATTATCTCTTAACTCTAAAAAAACGGAAATTATTATATTTAAATCTGCTCAAACAAAAATAAATAAGCAATTAAATTTCAGATTAAGTGGCCAAAAAATAAATCCAGTTAACTCTATTAAATATCTTGGAATCAAAATAGACTCTAATTTATCTTTTGCATCGCATCTTCAAGACTTAGCATTGAAATTAAGCAGATCGAATGGTATTTTAGCTAAAATTCGTCATTTTGTTAACCATGAAACTTTGCTTAATTTATATCATGCTATTTTTCACTCTCATCTCAGATATGCTTGCCAAGTTTGGGGACAATCTAAGCAGCTTGCTTTTTTAAGACTAACTTATCTCCAAAACAAAGCTCTAAAATTAATTTACTTTCAACATACTAATTCGAACTGTAGCATACTCTATTTTTTATCTAAAGTCCTTAAATTGTGTGACCAGCTATCAAATTGTCTATTTGTTTGGAACCAAAATCATAATAACTTACCTCTTACATTTATCAACTTTTTTAGTTATAGGGAAAACTGTAAATATATTCTACGATCTGCTCTCAACTTTAAATTATCTGTACCTAAATACCGAACTGTTCATTACGGCTACGAATCCATACAACATAAAAGCATACAAACCTGGAACAATCTCCCTTCCCAATTAAAATCTCTTAAATCATTCTCCAAATTTAAAACTGCTCTCTTTAACCATTTTTTAGAAATATACTCTTTATAAATCTTATACCTTTTTACAACTTATTATTTATAACCCTAACGCGGTGCTTCTATTCATCTTTTATTTTTTCTCTTTTCTATCGTGATATATTACTAATTTTAATATCAATTATTAAATTTATTATTATAAACTGATATGTTTCTATAGTATTCTCTTATCACTGTTGTTGTTATTATTACTATATTTTTACCATAATGAATATTATTGTAATTGTTATTTTTGTTGTTGTTATTATTTTTGTTGTTATTATTGCTATTATTATTGCTATTATTATTATTATTATTATTATTATTATTATTATTATTATTATTATAGTATATTCTTTTTATAATCGCTACTATTATTTTTTTTATCACTATAATCACTACTATTACTTTTATTATTCCTACTTGTATTATAATTATTATTATTACTATCTCCGTCTTATTTTTATTTAGTTTGACAGGTGTTTACTTTATATTAGTACAAATTACTATTTGTAAATATCCTTGATGTAACAACTTTATTCAGAATATATATTTGATTTGATTTGATTTGATTGATTTGATAATTTGTGTAATAAATATTGTCATCTCAAGGCAATAACACACCATCTAGGTTTTTTGTAAATTTTCATGCTAGGGCATAAAACACTCAGTTCAATTATGATTTAATTAAACTGAGTGTTTTATGCTCAACATTAAAATTGATGAACATGAAAATAATTTGTTACCTCAAAGCAAGAACACACAATCTAGGTTTTTTGTTTAGTGGAGAAAATTTTTCTCCTAACAAATAGCCTAGATTGATAGAAACAAATAACCTAGATTGTGCGTTCTTGCTTTGAGAATAGAAAATATTAATTAGAGCTGGAGTGATAACGTGTAATTAAAAACCTGTTTATTGAGATCTGGTTTATTCATCAAACAGCAAGAATTTATGTTTTACCTAAGATGCACAAAATTAGTAAAGATAATTTTATCCCAATTTTTCAATATATAATCTCAATAGTTAGGAATCTACAATCTTCAACCCTGCCAAACATCTATTTTTCGACCTATAATCGGGATATTGGGACATACAACTACAATCAACAAGCATCAACAAGAAGTTTGTTTATTAAGTGAGGGATAAAATTAAATGGTAAATTCTATCACTTTTAAGTGAGGGAATATACACATTAAATGGAGGGAATATACGCATTAAATGGTAAAATTACTTAATTAACAAACTTCTCATTTTACTATTAAATTATCTATTTAACTAAACTGCCAGCTTATTTTTTATTTTTATTTTTGATAATATTTAATTGGTTATTTACCAAGTCATTTTTTGTAATTGTTTTTATTTGTTTATTATGTATATTTGTCTGCTAATATTTCTCTGTAAAGTCTTTTATTTTTAATGTTTAATCCAGATCTTATCTAATCTTTTTATTTTTAATCTAGGTCTTCAATCTTTTAATCCAGATCTAATCTTTTGTCTTCACTGCAGAGCCATTTACCATCTTTTTTGTATCAAAAACTTTATTCAATGGATCATATTTTTTTTATTTTACACATTTATCAGCACTTAATCCAGTTTTGCCAGTACAACTTGAATTGATATATATATATATATATATATATATATATATATATATATATATATATATATATATATATATATATATATATATATATATATATATATAGACACACACACACAAACACACGCACACACATAACAGTTGTTTATTTTATGTTATTTTAGTAATTGAAGTTATTAATTATAATAATATAATGTAACTATTTTTTAAAGTTACATTAATTTAAACACAAGTTAAAGCATTGTATAAATTAAAACATTAAAATAATTTTTATTGTAGCACATTTCTTTGGTTTGTGTATGGATCTTTAAAAAAAGACAGTTTGTTAATTTTTGTAAATAGTGTGGGGTGCATACTTCAAGCTGGATACATTTTTGTTTTTATTCAAAACTGTGATAAAAAGGTTTGTGATTTAGATAAAAGTTTCATTATGTTTTTACCCAAAAGTAATTTCCTGGAGTTCTATGTACTAAATGGAGTACTAAACATTTTTTGTTAGGGTTGAAATTTACAATTGCAATAGTCGATATGAATTCTTTTAAATATGTCCAACTTAATATTATGGTCCCCTAAAACAGTAAATTTTGCTAAAATTGCAGTCGCAAAGTATCAAAAAGTTTTTTATGTTCTATAGTATAGTTAGTTGGTGAAATAACTCTAATCTAAACAATAAGAGCTGCATCTCATTCTGCAGCAAACGGTGTTCCTAATATTTGGCCTAAGACTAATATACCAATGGTGTTCCTAATATTTGGGCTAAGGCTAATATACCAATGGTGTTCCTAATATTTGGGCTAAGGCTAATATTCCAATAAAACTAAAAGAACTTTTTGTTGACAAAATTGAAACTTTGTTTTTAAGATGAAAAATTTAAAAAAATAATAATAATGAAAATAAAGCCAAGCCGTCTGATAAAATTAAAAAAGCAGAATAGAAGTAAAATGATATTTTTGCCATTGTTTATGCCAATACTGCTGTAATGATCAGCATACAGGAGATCAGAGATTTTATGTCAGCTCATGGCTAAACTGGACATGGGGGGAAATTGGGTAATTTTAACAAAGATCAAATAAAAAAGAGTTTAAATAAAACAAAAAATTGTAAAAAATGATTTAAAAGTGAAAAAGATAAAAATAAAAAAATAATGTTGGCATCTTCATTATTAGAAAATGTAATTGATACAACAGACAGTAACATTGGAGTAAACAAAAAATATCTATGTGCTGCTGCAAGTGTATGTGAGAAACCAATGAATCCAAAACTAAAAAAATGCTAAAAGATCTACGGAATACCAATTTTAGTGTCTGGGGAAGGTATTAAGTTCATATAATTTCACTGTATAAATTTTGCTGCTACTGAATTTTATCTCTTTAGAAGATAAAAATTTTGTTCCTTTTAACTTTTAGTTTTTCTAGATATATCCGGAATTACAGATGTTCTTTTTAACTTTTAGTTTTTTTGGGATATCCAAAAAGTTTTTGTAAATACAAATTTAAATATATTTTTGCAATAAAAAAAACAAATAAATTTTAACTTATTAAATCATTCCCATACATAAAAAGAAAAAAGTTTCATAAAAATTGAGAAAGCCATCAGCTTAAAGTTTAAAAAATTCAGAAATAAATTCCAGATTTTTTTTCCAAATTTTTTCAGGATTTTTTAAATATGATCTAGATGATCTTGGTATTAGCTTTCTCTTAATATTTTTACTTTGTAAAACATAAATTTATACTTTTCATCAATACTAAAACAGTCACAGATTTGACTTGTAATTGCTTTTTTTTTTTGCTTTTTTTTTTTTTCAGAATTAAGTTTAGTTAACTAAACTCCCAGTATTATTGGTTTACCACTACTAGTAAGATTACTGTGGTTGTGCCTAGGACAGTAATTTTTTTCACATTATTTAATACCACATTATTAAAACTTGTCCAAACCACACAGGTGTATGGCCATGGATGTTGAATGAAAAAAATATATATTTAGCTATAGAGTTTAAATGAACACAGGGTTCGATGTCAATACATAGTTTTAAGTCATAAGCATTAACCAATTGTTGTGCCACTGTTATTGGTATTAATAAAATATAACATAAATAATTCTTTATCTACTGTCTGTGAATTTTTTTTTCCTTTAAAAATTTTTTGAACAAAAATATTCAATCTTTAGTATGAATGAAATCATACCTCAGTTTACTTCAGTGAAATTGAAAATGAAAAATAAATTACTTATAACTTATAGGCTACTAAAAAAACATACAATCAAAAATATCTAGTAACTTTTATAACTTTTTAAATTTAATAATACTAGCTTACAGGTTTATTTAGTTTTTATAACTTTTTAAATTTAATAATATTAGCTTACATGTTTATTTAGTTTTTTATAACTTTTTAAATTTAATAATACTAGCTTACATATTTATTTAGTTTTTATAACTTTTTAAATTTAATAATACTAGCTTACAGGTTTATTTAGTTTTTATAACTTTTTAAATTTAATAATATTAGCTTATAGGTTTATTAGTTATGTAAATTTTTTATAATTTAATGATACTAGTTAAAAAGATTCTTTTTTAACAATAAGTTTTATTAATATTTAACAACATTATCAAAATGAATGTTTAAATTAGAGTTTTTTATTTTTGAACAACATTATCAGAATGAATGTTTTATAACAACAACAACAACAACAACAAGCTATTAATTTTCTATTAAATTTTCCATTTCTTATTTATTTTCCTAATTATTTTTATGTTTATATTTTGGTTTTTTCTTTTTTAACAACAATATGAAAATATGTTGTTTATATTGTTTTGTTTTTTTTAACAACAATATCATAATAAGTGTTTATGTTGGGGTTTTTTTATTTAGCAACTTTATATAAATAATTGTAAAATTATATAAATTATATAAAAGTTTTTATAAATTATTGTAAAACCACTTTTTATGTTATGTTTTTTTTTAGCAACATTATATAAAGCGAGTGTTCACATTGGGGTTTACATGTTTTTGTGTTTTGGTTGTTGCTGAGTTTGGTCATATTTTTTTTGACACACTACTTGTTCTAGCATGGATTGCATGTGTTGTTTCTGTATTAATGTTTGGATCTCCATTATCAACTGTAGTAAGAAAAATTATTTTTATTAAGTTTTATATCTCATACTCTTGATTATTATTATTGAGAATTATTATTATTGCTATTATTATTATTATTATTATTATTATTATTATTATTATTATTATTATTATTATTATTACTACTATTATTATTATTATCATTGTTATTATATACATACTAACTTACATACATACTTATATATGTACTAACATACATATAATCTTGTTTGGTTTTAAAATGAAGGACTTTTCTACTTCCAACAATATAATATTGAAAATATTTTTTAAATTAAGTGCATAGTATATTTAAAAAGTTAGTGAAAATATTTTTTACAATTATTTTTATAATAATCTAGTATTACTCTCTAAATATCATTGGAGAAAAAAAACTTGTATTATTTCACAAATAAAAAATTTTTCTAAAATATAATTTAATTTTTAATGTTTATTAAACTTTTTGCTGCATTATAAATTGCTATGGCAAATAAAAAAAAGAAACATAAAAAAACCATTATTAAACTATTTTTCTGTGATTTCATCAAAACATTGTGGTTTATTAACTGGGTTAATGCATTGAGAAAGTAACGACCCTAAATCTTTTTGTTGTGCTTGTGGTAAACTGATTTTCAAAAAATAATAATAAAGTTTCACAAAACTTGTCTTGGAGAGTTGTTAATAGTTTTTTAGTTTTGCTGTGGCCCATTAAAGTAATGAAAAATGTAATCCTGAGTCAATTTTTGTGTGTGAAGAATTTAAACAAGCTTAACAATTTGGTTAGCAATTTAATTTTGTTCTTTTATATACAATCTATAAATAAAAAATTAAGTAATATAAACTAAAAATCAGTTCTTGAGACATTGACATTTGAAATGAGACATTGACAGTTGAACATTTTTAAAAAATTTAAGGAGACAACAAAGCAAGTTTGACATATAATATCTTGATAATGGTTTGAAAGATTTGCCTAAAAATTAACCTCAATAAATTTTTTCTTTAGTATTCAAAAATAGCACTCTGACAACTTAATATTTTTAGATGTTTTATTTAAATGTATTAACTTGTAAGTTATTGATTTTTGAAAAAGTTAAACCAAAATTGATGCCTAATTTAAAGAGATTTTGTTTAAATTTATCAATATGTTGTCCAAGATGAGTTTCAATGGAAAAAAAAGTCAATGTTCACTTTTTTCAATTGTACTTTATTTTAAAGAGAAAGTGTCTCTCAAACAAGAATTTTTTTACCTTTTAAAAGATCAAAACACAGAATTTCAAAATTCAAGAAGATATAACTAAATATATCAAAGAAAATCCACCAGATGTATCCTGTGTGAAGTACATTTTCAATGACTGTGCAGCACGATTTAATAACATTAAAAACATTTCTCTTTGTTATTATAATTAAGACTTTGATTTAAATAATAATTTTTGCTACCAGCCGTGATAATTTTACCTGTGATGGGTTTTCAAGAATTTAGGTAGTAGAGCAGTTACTGTATGTGTGGTATGTGACGTATGTATGTGGTACATGACGTATGGATTTATATCATGAGCTATGAATGTATATCATGATACAAGGTTATATCATTTTACCTCTATTAGTTTAAATAGGTTGAAATAAAAACAAGCTTTGATACAAATACGGAATTTGTTATTGTTCCATTAAAAAAAAAACAATTTTATAAAGTGATTTCATGAATTATTAAAAAAATAAGAATTATAGTGCATTTTTTTATGATTGACTTTGGTGGGTAGGGATTATGTGTAAAATATTAATTAAAAGTTGTATTTTACATTATTACATCAGAAATATATATATATATATATATATATATATATATATATATATATATATATATATATATATATATATATATATATATATATATACATATATATATATATATTTATATATATATATATATATATATATATATATATATATATATATATATATACATATATATATATATATATATATATATATATATATATATATATATATATATATATATATATATATATATATATATATATATATATATATATATATATATATATATATATATATATATATATAAAATAATCAAAGTTTCTGATATAATAATGTAAACTTTTCAGAGATTTGGGTGACAACCTCCGTTTTAATTTCAAAAATCAATAATTTGCAAGTCTATATTTTTGAATAAAATTAAAAAAACATGTCATCTCGTTAGATTATCAAGTCCACAAAAATAAATAATCAAGTCCACAGACTTTTTTTTGCTTTTTTTGAATTCCTCAAGCTAACATTAGAATACATCAAAAGTATCGTCAGATATGTAAAAATGCTCAATCATTTTAATTGACAGTCTTAATTAACAATCTTAAACACTGGTGTTTAATTTTCTTAATTACTATTTATTTATTATAATTATAGATTTGGAGGTATGCTTATCAATAAGTATTAATTTGTTGCATTAATGTTACATTGCAAATTCTCAACCATTTTTTAATTGAAATATTTTGTTATAATATTCAACTGAAATAACTGACATTGGTATTGTTGATAATATTGATGATAAAAGCTATGAAGTTGATGCTGATTGTAATGGTAGTTCTGATGCTGGATTTTCGAATGTTTCTGTTATTCTCAATTTAATTATCTATTAATAAATAAATTTATTTATATTTATTATTGTATATTAAGTAAACGTAAACCAATTCTGAGACATGATATATATATATATATATATATATATATATATATATATATATATATATATATATATATATATATATATATATATATATATATATATATATATATACATATATCATTTCTTATGGAATAATCTCTTCCAATGTTATCATTTTACAAAATAGTCTCAGCGTAGTTTGATCTTGTTCCCTGACAGAAGTTTATGATCATTGAAGATTGACAATGATTACCTATAATTTAAATTTCAAATGTCCATTTTAAATTTTTTGATTGTAAAAATTAAAAACAGCGACTTCAGAAAATAAAAATAATATAAAAAAAAACATTTTTAGCTGCTTCTCTCACAGCTTAACTGACCCTATTTTTATAGCTTAGTTATAAAAAATTGCTAATTATTTTCTTACTTTTTTAAACAAAAAGATTGAAATCGTAAATACATTAAATTAATTTAATTTAGTGAAACTTTACTACTTTTTTTTTTTAGTTTATCATAACTGAATCTGCCAAATTCAGAAATCTGAAAAAACTATGCTCCTTCACATTTCAGTGCTGTTCCTATTGACATAGGAACAGCCCTGAAATGCTAAGTTCTCTTCAGAAGAGAAATTAGAATTTAAGAAAGAATGTAGGCAGATTATCATAATGTTATTGCAAAATTTACAAGAAAGATGCCCATTGAAGTATTCTTTTAAGAGGAATTCTCCAAATGCAATGGTTTAAAACAAGAAAGTATCAACTCTGAAATTAAAGGGTCTTGCTGAGATATTAAGTACATTAAAATGGCCTTCAATTGACGATGTAGATGATGCAAAACCACAATTTGTTGAACTTTTTGGTGCAGAATGTGTTCGATTTACAGTCTTCGAAATGATAATAAATAAATTTGAGTCCTTTAATGAGTTATCTGATTCTGTTGATAAATTTCTTGATGTCTATTTGCATAAAAATCAAAAGTATTCAGCATTGTAAAAAGTCTGTGCTATCATTTTTGTTTTATCTCATGGCCAATAGACAATAGAACAAGGATTTAGTGTTAACAAGCAGTTGTTATTAGAAAATCTCCAAAGAACAGTTTATAACCACATCAATTCCCATGGCATTGTTATTAATCAGTATGAGCTTCCCAGTGACCTTTTAAAAAGCTGAAGGTTAACATAAAATAGGTACAATTCAGTGTTAAAAGAAAATAAGGATCAGTTAAAGGTAGACAAAGCAAGAAACTTAAATTGATTGATGAAGAATTTGTAATTATAAAGAAACAGAAATTTTTATTTGTAAAATGTATCAAAGTTCTCAAAACTGACAAGTTAAGCATTAAAGCAGAAGAAAAGCAAAACTTCACTATCCTTGCGAAAGCAAATTAAGTTATTTAGTTGAAGTTAATAACAAGTTTTGATTTTATTGTTGCACTGTGTATAACAAGAAATGTTTTTGATATAACTCTTTTAATTACACGATTGTGCAAGCAAGTAATTATTATATTTTTTATTGTTTGAATCTTATTCAAGCATTAAAAGATGTTGTATCTTCACTTAATATTATTAATCAACGCTTTCAAATATGCTTTGAACAACCCTAAAAATTGCATTTCAAATCATTTTAAATTGCTTATCGCTGTTCTTTTGTTGGACCATCTGAGTACTGATTTTAACACAATGTTTGATGATACAACTTTAAAGTGTTATAAAGCACCTGTCTTTTAGTTTCTTCATTCTAATCTTTAGTACGTAAAACTACTCATCTAGATAATCACGAAAGCCGATTGAGACGACCCTTGAGTTGCAACTATCGCTATCAAGGCAAGTAATCCTGACCTACAAAATAAATCAGCTAGAACTATACGTGGGAGGTTATGTGCAAGTGGATATAGAGCATACAGACCCGCCAAAACCCGAGCTATCAAATAAGAACCTAAAGAAAACCCGAGCTATCAAATAAGAACCTAAAAGACAGAATATCGTTTTGCAAAAAATATAAAGATTGGACCGTACAGCAATTTTAACAAGTAATATATAGTGACGAGAGCACCTTTTCGCAATTCTTAAACTTTCAGAATTACATAAGAAGACCTCATAAACAACGCTATAATCCTCTGTACACTATTCTAACTGTGAAACAATTTGAAAAGATAATGGTGTGGGGTGCAATTGCCACTTTGGTTGTGCCGGGTTATTAGAGATGCCATACAACACGACAATTAATGGTGAAACATCTCAGAGTTTTACAAGAGAAATTACCACATTTAATGAGCATTCACGGTTGTAACAACTTTTAACATGATGGTGCACCATGCCACAATGTAACTGCAGTTAAACGCTGGCTGAATACGAAATGCTATCAGATTTTAGATTCATGACCGGGAAATTCCCCAAACTTTAACCCCATAAAAAATATTTGGATGGTGATGAAAAAAAAAGTTTAACAAATGTTTTAAATGTTTATAATTTAAAATTATTATATAAGTTACAGCATAAAAAAGTTTAGCGTTATTAAAAACATTTCTTATATGCATTAGGGTTGTTAAACCTTAATAAAGTTGTTAAAATTGACAAAAGATAACTGTGCCTAATAAATTGCGTTAAGATTTTTTTTTTTTTTTGTATTTCAACGATTCTAAAATTATTACGTTTTACAGAGAGAGGTCATACGAACAAAGAATGCTGAAACAATTTCATTTCCACTATCAATAATGACATGTCTGACAACTATTAGTTGGTTTATATACGGCAGTTTGAAACATGATAATTTTGTTCGGGTAAGGTTTTATGTTGTTTTACAAATATATATATTTGATTTGATTTGATTTCATTTAAATTTTTTTAGTTTCCAAATGCACTTGGATTTATCCTGGGTTTATCACAGATCTATTTTATAAACAAGTTTAAAAATCAAAAACTATTGGGGACAAACTTAAACGTTTAGTGTAGAAATGATTAAATATAACAAAGTAAAATGGTATTGCATTCTATTTTGTATAATATTTTTTAATCTACGTATTAACATTCATAAATGGTAATGTGTTGGCTTTATATTGGTAATATAAACAGCTATTTTGTACTTTAAGTAAATTAAAAACATGGCTGATGGAACAATATTAGGAATGTGAATTCTTTTATTGGTGTTGATTAGTTTTTAAGAATTTTTGATTTGCTATGAAATAAATGTATGTAATGAAAACTATAACATTGTTTTAATTAGGCGTTTAATTTTGAACTCACCAATGCTAAAAGCGTTTGTTTTTGAACTCGCCAATGCTAAAAATATTTGTTTTTAAACTCACCAATGCTAAAAGTATTAGTTTTTAAACTCACCAATGTGATTTTAAATAATATAAAAACATTTAAGGGCATATGCAAAATATCTGTCATAATATGCCGAAGCGATTGGATGGGTGTGCAAGATATTGTTTCCCACCTCCAGATGAGCGATGCATCGTAATATTTGATTTGCATATTAATATACCTAATTTTTATTTAAACTAATAATCTTTTATTGATTAAAGATGCATTTTTATTTACAATATATATATTTTTTAAATCGTTCAATACTTTAATTCACTGGTTTTAAAACTAGTAATTGTGAGTGAGGTATGATCAGGTGGTGTAGGACTCACGTTTGGAGAGTGGTTCCGGACAACTTAATCCATTTACATATTAAAAATGAGCAACTTTTTTATATAAATAAAAATACATTTATTATAATACACGAAACCATTATAGTAATTCATTAGACTTTTGTCTCTGCCAGTTCCCGTCATATCTTAACTAAAAACCATTAAGGTGAGTTTCCACTCATCCGTTTTTTTACAGGAACGGGATAGGAAAGGGAAAAACAATCACGTGAGTCTGCGCAGTTTTACTTCGGACAAATTAAAACTTATAATACGCATGCCCACGTGATTGTTTTTCCCTTTCCCGTTCCCGCGAAAAAACGGATGAGTGGAAACTCACCTTTATAGTAATTCATTGAATTCCAATAAAAAAAACCTAAGATTTCAAAAAAGTGTTTTTAAAGTGTTTTATTAGTAAAAAGCTAATGTTAATATTTTTAAATCATTCCCTTTTCTTATATATATATATATATATATATATATATATATATATATATATATATATATATATATATATATATATATATATATCAGAAGCATTTTTTAAAAGGCGATTTTTCTAAAATGTCCCGACGGGCATTTGTTTATTAAAGTTACGTTCTAAATGTGTTTTAAATGTCTTTTAAACGTCTTTTAAACATTAATGTTTAAAAGACGTTTAAAAGACATTTAAAATACATTTAGATCGTAACTTTTAAAAAAAAATACCCGTCGGGGTGTTGAGAACAGTCTAAAGCTGTTTTATTATATATTGTATTTGTGTCACACGGGTAAAAAAGAGGTAAAATCATGGTTAAAGTATGTGTCCGGGTAACTCTCCGACTTTTGAAACATGCCTTTTTCTAACATTTTTATTTTATTTTTTGTATATTATTAAGGCACACACTAATTATTTTTTTGTTTCTAATTCAATAGATAAAAGTTTATACTTTTATAAAAAGTCTTTTGACACTTTGTGTTCTGTTAGCACATGAGTACAATCTATTTTTTTCTTAAGTGTCCGGAGTCACTCGACTATACGCTAACGCTTTTCTGTTTTTACAGCTGAGTTCTCCTTCTAAACTGAGAAATACTTGAATTAGTTTTGTTATTATTGTTATCATCAGGAATGTCACATTTCTAAAATTATATATATATATATATATATATATATATATATATATATATATATATTATATATATATATATATATATATATATATATATATATATATATTAAATTAAATGCTAAATATATATATATATATTAAATTAAATGCTATATATATATATATATATATATATATATATATATATATATATATATATATATATATATATATATATATATATATTAAATGCTCATCCGCGAAACTCTGTGATAAGACCGTAACCTAAATAAAATTAAAAAAAACAACGGTCCAACGTGCCCTAGCCTCTGTTGGCATTTCGAAGGAAAATCAAGCTATGGACGGCTTTCAAAATGGCAGCAGCGGCATTTCAGATGACGGTCTGTTAACGGGATGTTTGCTGGGAAAAGCTAATTTTTCGGAAATTCTTTAAAAAAAAGGGCTTTTGTTTAAAATAGGAGACTTTTTTTATAACTATTACGGAGCTTTGCCATGTAAGTTTAAATTTAAACGGATGTGGATTTATTGTAAATGAAAAATTTCTTTTTTAAAAATTACTAAATGCACAAAACATAAAATTTTCAACTACATTCAATTGACATGCTTTATTTACGGTAGATTAGGGTATATACATTGAAATATTTTATTTAATAATTATGCTGGATCCAAAATTTTTGCGAGTAAACAATTTTCAGGGATGATCCACATCGATGTTTGGGTACCCAAAATTGTATCTTAAAAAAAGGTTTTAAAAAAGTAGCAAAAGTGCTCGTATTACCCAGACCTCTTGGATAAGCACTTTAAGATAAGCACTTTAAATTAGCTCAAAAAAATAACAAATTAAGTAGAAAAAGATCATCTTGACAATTGGAACTAATTTTTTGATTATAATGATTCAATAACAAAACTTATCAACAAAAATCAAATTTTTATCACTTTTTATTGAAACAATACTTCTTTTTTTTCACGTAAAAAAAAAAGTTAGTTTGTTATTTTTTCAAATTTATTTACTCAAACCTTCAAATGATGAAATTACAAACTTTTTGAATTTAAATTACAGAAATATTGTAAAAATAATAAAAATTTTTACTATGTTTTGTCTTTATTCAAAAAGAAAATAAAACCACTGCAATTTTACGGTTTTAATCTAGGCAGTTTCAACGAAAAACACTCGGTAATATTTGCGTGCTCATATTACACAAAAATGGCATCTTTAAATAAAGTCAAAAGTAAATGTTTGTATGTATTGTTTATCAAACAAAAATGAAACGGATTTTTAGCTAACATATTTTTAATGAAAAACTAAATTTTATTATTTTTGCATCAAATTTTTGCGCCACAGATTCATTAATGCGTGATAATATTTAACAAAGCAAAAAATTTAATAGCGTTTAAATTACATGAGAGAAGTTTTAATTACTGCATATAAATTTATGCTAATTATACTGCATATAAATTTATGCTAATATCCTGTATATATTTACTGTAATAATACTAATCATAATTATATTAATTATTTAATTACTGTAATAATACTAATTAAATCCTGTTATCATTACATAAAGTCGATTTAAAAAATTCAAAGCAACTTTAACTTCACTGCTTACATTTTTGAGCAGCCGACCAATGTAAATAAATTTTTGAGCAGCCGACCAATGTAAATAATCCGCTTAGTCCATGTATTACAAAGTGTCTTATAAAATCCATAAACAAATTTGTATCTACCCAACCACTTTTAGAACAGCGTCCAACTGTTTCTGGTGGTGCATCATCAATCAATGAATCTAGCATCCGTTTTCTTTTAAAAATAATCACAGAAGGTATGTAGTGTCCCACACAATTAAAAGCTAGTATAACAGTTGTTGTTTGGCCTCTCTCACCACTAGTTACTGAAGATACAACACGTTGGCCTGTAAAAATACAATTATAAAAATATAGACAATACAAAATAAAAATAAATACAGACACACAAATAATAATTTGGTTTTTCACTAAAGCAAATTAAAAAATTTGCAACTTCTCACTTATTACCTTTGAGCTATTACTTTTAAAGGCTTGTGAACACATGTTAATCCAGATTCATCACAGTTGTAGATACGATTTGCTTCAAATTGGTTTTCGTTAATAAGTTTTTTTTTTATAAAATCTCAACCTGCAAGTTTCTTTTCAGTATTAAATGGATGGTTTATTTTATTGCGTACAACATAGTCATACACCACCCTTTGAAGTTCATTAATTGATAGACCATTAAAGACTAACTCCATTTTGATTATATACTGTGCTGAATCTTTTTCTTGGGCATCAGATAACACTTTTCTATAAGAACCAAACAATTTTATGTGTGGTTTATCATCAGGCATTGTTTTTATTAATTTATTAACTCTTCTGTTGAGAGAATCTTTTGGAACCGAATATTCATTAGAAGCTTAGTAATGTCATTTCTTTATTTTTGACAGCTTGGATAGCTAATTTCATATTGCTTTCATCCCAATTTCCACGATTTATTTTTCGTTTGTAATTTCTAACCATCATAAAAACCATAAAATGTTTACAAAATTTTTTTTGATTTTTTGGAGTATATATCAGAGATCAAAAAACAACTGAATAATGGACTCATCTTTCTCACAAAGACCGTATGTTAAAAACATAAAATTCTTACCTTATAAATCAAATTAGGTTTTCTTTTCTTTTTGGGGTATGAATAATAAAGAAATCTTTTTTTAAAAAATTAGCAGCACGACACTAGTACATCTAAATATTTATCAAGAATATGAGTTGCATCGAATATGTCTTCACTAAGAAACGCGTTGAAAAAAATAATGGCTTTACTAAGTTTCAAAAACACCAGTTATTTTGTCATCAAACAAACTAAACATTCCAAAAAACAGGTGTATTAAGCTTAGCAAGTACAACCACAAACTATATGCATAATATTAATGAAGGACTATGATGATTACTATCTCCAGAAAGGATCCCATTGTCGCATATTGCCCCGAATTACCCTACTAAAAAACCGTAAGAAAAACGAAATTTTTTCAGCGGAAGGTTATTATTTTTTCCGCATTAAGTTAAAGTTTTCAAGCTAAAAAAATAAATATTTGATTTTTTAACACAAAACATCTTAGAAACAAAAATATTTTAATTTTTTTTTATGTTAACTATTTATCTAAACTCAAATAAAAAGCGTTTTTCTGAAAGTCCATTTATTTAAAATTTGAGTTTTTTCAACTTATGAATTTTTTTTATTGAAAAACGTTCAAATCTAACAATGCTAGTATCAATAAAAAAGTTACTCATCATTTTTATTAACGTCTACAAAATTATTGATATTTAAAAAATCTTCGCCGGATAATTAGTTTTTTTTTTTTTTTTTCTCAAAAACTTTTGCCGATTCGCACTTATGCCAGTTCGTACTTGTGCCAGTTTTTGCAACTGCTTTGCACTTATGCCAGTTCGCACTTATGCCAATGTTTTCAAAATCTTTTGGCGCAGTTATGCCAATTCGCACTTATGCCAGTTCGCACTTACGCCATTCGCACTTATGCCAGTTTGCACTTACGTCATTCGCACTTATGCCAGTTCGCACTTACGCCATTCGCACTTATGTCAGTTCGCACTTATGAAATTCGCGTTTATTCAGTCGTCCCGTCTAATTACCTAAAACTTTTCATTTTTACGGGTCCAAACATGTCTAAAAAATTATTTAAAAATTTATAGATTTAAAAACTTCAGTTAACAAAAACCTTAAATTTCTTAGGTGAATACTTGGGATGTTTTCTATTTTTTGAATTTCTTCTAATGGGAGATCAAGTCTTTTATAGACAATGCGAAGTCCTTTTTCATTAATTTTATTAATTAGGTTATTATTATACTACAAACAAAACATCCAAATCAAAGGACAATAAGAAAAATTTGACAGTATAAAAGCATTGAATAAAACAGTAGCTTGTTTTACTGATAAGAAGCTCCTTATTCGTGCAAGAGCGAAGCATTTGCCATTTGCTTTTCTACACAGACTTTTAATATGATCATCAAATTTCAAGTCTGTATCAATTGTAACTCCGAGAAGTTTAACCATAGAGGAAACCATGGTTTTTACATTTTCAACCATTAAAAATTGATCTTTACAATTTTTTAAGCCAGCTAAAAAAAAATTGAAATTTGTCCGGATTTGCAACCATTTTATTCAAAGTAAATCATGAAATCGCGTTTGATATTTCTATTTGAAGACGAGCAATGACACTGTCTAGGTTTTTGTCACAAACAGAAAGAGTGTTGTCATCAGCATAGTTGCAGATTTCAGAGTCTTTTATAAATAAGAAAAATCGTTGATAAAAATATTAAAGAAAATTGATCCAAAATTGAGTCTTGAGGTACACCAGATTCCATATCTAAATAAGAGTTTAAGACTATCGTAAGAAAACCCATAACCTTCCAACTTAGCTATAAGCAAATCATGTGGAATTAAATCGTATGCCTTCGATAAATCCATAAGCATAGCGCCAACTATACCTCCTTTATCCAAGCATTCTTGCCACTAATTTAAACTTAACTAAATTAAAAAGTGCGTGCTGTGTACTATACCCTCTCCGAAATCCACACAGCAATTTGTTAAAACTTTGTTAAAAATTTGTTAAAAATAACTAACACTCGTTTTAAAAATTCATCAATTATTACTCTAGTTTATGTCTCATAATGAGTAATTCATTATGAATATTTTTTTTTATATGTAAAAAAATTAAATTAAAATAAGAATAAAAATTTTTCACTTTATAGTATTATGATTTTAAAGGTAGAAGCAATTAAAGCAATCAATTTTTCTAAAAAAAAGTTAAAAATCACTAGTGCCTAATTTTGAAGTAGTATCTAAAAATAGAAAAAATAGTAAGAAAAAATAAAAATAAATAAATAACGGACTAGACGGTATAATTTTATTTAAAGCTTGCGTATTGAATTAGTTGCTCTGACGTCAAACAAAAACAATCGGCTGTCAAGTTGAATGGGGTAATAACATTGCAAAGAATATTAGCTAATTCTTTAAGAATTTTTGATAATTAATTATTTTTTAAAAAAATCATTATGAAGACGTTCCAAAAAAATGATGTAATTTGTATATCAGTGAAGTACTTATATTTACGTATATTACGCATTATTGCGCTACTTCGTTTCATTTTTTTTTTCGGTACTAAAAATTAAGAGTTAAGAAAGATTGTATTACGTCAAGGAGAGATTATAAAAAAAATTAAAAAAAAAAAAGAAGCAATAAGTAATAATATTTACGCATATTACGCATTATTGCATTATATCTTTTCATTTTTTTTGGTATTAAAAATTGAGAGTTAAGATACAAATTTCTTGGCGTTATATATTACGTCAAGAAAAGATTATAGAAGAATTATAAAAATTAAATCACGCTAAGAAGTGAATATAAAACACCCGAGAAGATGTTAAGAATCGATAAAAATGCTAAAAACCTGTTGTGCTTAAAAATGTTCAAACAATATATATTCTGAAATAAAAGTTTTAACGTTTCATGGTTATTTACAAATAGTACGAGTACTAATCAAAGGTAAACACCAATTAAATAATAATATATTAGATAAACATTAATACTATTATTGTTATAATACTATTATTAAATAATACTTTAATTAATAGTGAATATTTTAGTAATAACAAAAATAGTTATATTAATGCATATCAAAAATAAATATCAAACAATATTGGTAAGTAATAATCAGGGATGCAAAGTTCCATTGATTTTTCGGGACTCCGGGACTCTGGACTCCGATGACAAAAATCATGGACTCCATGGACTCCGACTCCGGAATTTTTATTTTTTTTCTTAAATTAAATGTGTTTTTTTTTTATCTGGAATTTTTACGTGAAAATGCCGGAAAATTGATAGGCTACCATTAATATCCCAAAGCCCCGCGGAAAAGCAATTAACAGGAAATTCAGACCTCCTTTCTAACCAATGTCGCAAAATTTGCCTAAATAGGGTTTGAATCACGGATCCCTTGTTTTTTAGGCAAGTGCACTACCACTGCGCCACGGTTGCTTAATTCCAGAAGTTAATTTGTCCCGTATTTGCTGGATAGTAAAATTAATGAAAATAATACAACTCCAAAGATAACTTTTATTTGATTTGTATTGTCACACGCACAGATTTATCAATTTCTCAGATTATTTTAAACCATATGATCATAAAATTATAAAAAGATTAAAACTTACATTTTCATTAACTATGCGCTAAATTATAAAGTTACAAGAAAACATTATTGCAATATCTACATCAAAAATATTCAAATAAAAAATTCGCTTGTTAGTAAAAAAAGCATATCGTCAATTAACTCAGATGTAAATCGACTACGATGGTCTGGAGTCATGTGCTTTAAGACTGAAAAATAGTCGCTCAACACTGGCTTGGGATATGGGTAGCGACAAAGCGACTCGGCAGGCATCCCGTAAAACTTCAGGAAACCCCTAAATTGCTTTTAATGGGTTAAGTTTTAAAAACTCGTCTAAGTTGGGGGAGTTGTCTTTAAACATTGAACGAATTTCCGGAATCGTTTTTAGAGCTTGTCGAAACTCCGTTTCTATTACATTTAGCTGAATCTGCATTTGTTCTTCTGAAGAATTCTCTTCAATCTCCTGTTCACACAGCATAAATAAATTCGGTCGTCGCTTTGCGACTGGTGAAGCATTTTCCTCATTTTCTGAACTAGAGTCTGCAATATAAACTGTTAAAGAGTTGGACGCTATTGTATTTTTGGTTTTGTTCAGTTCATCGTTCTTATTTTTATTAGCCAGTTGAATCAGTTTGTAATTAATTTTCCAAAGTCCATCAGCTGCAGCTATCTATAGAAACATTTATAGTTTTTTGAATATATACTTTTTAAAGTTAAATAAATAAAATGTATATATATAAATAAAATTTTATTAAAAAAAGCAACCTTGTCTTCAGTCGCTGTCAGGATACAGCCATGCCTAATATCCACGTAAACTGCTGCAAGAAACAACGAATTTTCGCGTAGTGCGCTCTCTCTATTATCCATTCCATTCCGGAAATCTTTGGCTAAGTCGCTGTCCTTCCCGTCTAGTTTACACTTTATTGAATTCCAATCAAAAAGGAATTCACCTGCTGTGATGTTTTCACGCTGAAGACGAATAGTAAGATCGCGTGCCATTTGCAATATATCTCTCAATTCCTCCCACATTCCCCAAAGATATGGTTGCACATTAAATTCTTTTGGAGCTTCTTTTTGCATATTCAAATTTTGAATTACTGGTCGAATCTACACCTTTTCAAGATGTAAATGAGAACATGAAAGTTGTAATTAAGAAGTCGTAATATGTAATTAAGAAACACAACATGTAATTGAGAAAACGTTATATGTAATTGAGAAACACAACATGTAAATAAGAAGTCGTAACATGTAATTAAGAAACACAATATGTAATTGAGAAAACGTAAGATATAATTGAGAAATCATAATATGTAATTGAGAAATCGTAACTTGTAATTGAGAACACATAAATTAAAATAGCAAATTCACAGTCTAAGTTTGTAGGTTATTACAAAAGGTCTTTTTGGACATGAATTTAAGTTATAATCTTAAATTTTGCTTTTGTATGCACAAGTAATAATAATGGAATTGAAAGATCGTTGTGTTATATGCCAATACACTATGACCCGAAAGTCTGTGATTAAGCTAAATCCGTGTCAATATTTATGTCACCAAATTTGTTTACGTCCAGTTCTGGAACAACCAGATTCAAGTTGTCCGATTTGTCGGCATGAAATACACACAACTGAACAAGTTGAAAGGAAACGTTACGTTTTATCTTCTCCAAATGACAGGAGAAGAGTTGTTGAATGTGCGGAGCGATTTAAAGATTGGGTGAATCTCGCGCAAACGCTAGATATCAAATATAAGACAGCATACAATTGGGTTCGCAGCGGAAATTCAAATTTCATCGGAAAAGGAGGTTTTAAACCGAAAAAGTTGACCAAAGATCAAATCGAAAAAACATTAACATGGATTGAAAATGATTGTCAATTAACATTGGTGGCCATCAAAACAAAGATATTAAGACAATTTAACATAAACGTTAGCACAACAACAATAGCAAATTACCTCGAAGGCAGATTGTTCTCATTAAAAAAAGTGCACAAGGAGCCTTCTACAATAAACAGATATGAAAACAAAAAAAAAAGAGCTGAATAGGTTAGAAACATCAACGAACATATCACAAATGGTCGTCAGATAGTTTGGTTGGATGAAACAAATTTTAACCTTTTTTGTAGAAAAACGCAAGGACGCGCGAGACAAGGAAAAAGAGCAATTATGAAAGTACCTGCTTCAAAAGGTTTAAACATACACTTGATCGCAGCTATTTCAACTACAAATGTCGTCATGATAGAAACTCGCAGGGGATCATTTAAAGCAGATTCCTGTAACGATTGGATGTTGGCTATGTTTCACCAGTGGGTTACATCCGGGAATCGTTTGGAGGATTTGGTCGTCGTAACAGATAATGTTCCTTGTCACGCTCGTTTGCAAAGGGTGTTTGATAATTCATTAGCTCAGTTGTTACGTTTGGGACCTTACAGTCCAATGTTGAATCTGGTGGAAACGATCTGGTCCAAAATTAAAAGTAACATTAAAAATGCAATTCGCATTCCACCTGTATTAGGTGACGGGATTGCGGAACAGCGCATGCAGTACTTAGAACGAATTGTAATTGAGGCGAAAAATACTATAATGGGAGAAGATTGTGCACGTGCGGTACAACACACAACCACGCACTATGCAACTATTTTAAATATGGAAGACGTACAAGTTGGTGCTTAAATGATCAATGAAGTGATTTTTAATTATATAATTTTTAATTATAATTTTTAATTGAATTATAAATTTTTCCCTAAAATGTTTTTAGTGTTTATTATGTTAAATTCATTTGCCCAAAAATTATAAATTTTTCCCTAAATTTTTCCCTAAAAAACTAAATTTACGCTACAAATCTTGCGTCATTTTTAAGTGCGTCATTTTATACGCTCCATTTTTTTACGCGCCATTTTTTTTAAGCGCTATTTTACACTTACTCCTTTAAAGCGATATCTAAATTAAAATTTTCGTGTTCTCAATTACATCTTTCTATTTCTTAATTACAACTTACATTTTCTCAATTACATGTTACGATTCTTAATTACAATTTTCGTTTTCTAAATTACATCTTATGTTTTATAATTACAACTTACGTTTTTTCAATTACATCTTACGTTTCTTAAATCATATTGAACTGGCTAGACCAACGGGTAGCCAGTTCAATATGATTGAGGTGATCTAAAATTGGAACGAGATGTGTAGCTTGGTCCCTGAGAAGTCAATCCACTTAGAATTTCTTGCAGTTTTCACAACTTCTCTCGCATGACTAATAAGATTTTTTATTGTGGGCTTCTTCAATGCATCATTCACGGCTAACTGTAAAGTGTGGACAGCACATCTTTGAAGATGTATAACACTCATGCTACCGGCACCTCCACTTGCCAAGACTGCTGCTGCATTGTCCGCTGTAGAATTACCATTTTCGTCAAATTCATCAGTTTCTACTGAAAAATCGCCTTCGTCATCGTCAATTTCCTCAATGGCGCTGATGCCGTAGTCGCGCACCAACTTTATATTCACCTAAATATATTAAATACGATTTCAATAGTTAATTTAAAATTTAGTGAATATACGTTACAGTATATAAAAGATTTTATTGACATTTTAACAAACATCAAAACAGTTTATTTTTTTCATGATTTTATTCACTGAAAATATTGATTTTAAACCATTGAATTTACACTTTTTCTTCATTTAAAAAAAATATAGATGAATTTCAAAATATGATACTTACTGCCGCGTTGACAACACTGAGGCCTAAAATATTAGTTTTATTGATTCCAAACTTATCTAAACACTTTTCAATAATTTTTTTAGTGTATTTCGCCGTTTGTTTTCCCTTCGTATCTATGGTGTCAAGATTGATCACAACAATTTCATCATTGTTCGAGTATTGCGCATTTATACCAAGGTAGTGGCGCATATGCCTTGATGTAGAATCGACTTTTAAATAAATTAACATTTTCGATATTTTATTTTTGATTTGTTCGCGATGCTTTTTGGCAAGATCGCTAATTTGAATTCTCATATTATCTCTATTCATTTTAAATCCATAATGAGATGCAACTTTTCCGCAAAGCTTTTGAATAGGTTCTCGATCAAACGCCTATAGAATTTGTTTTTAGAATAATAAATGTTTTTTAAAAATTCGCAAAAAAAAACATAATTTTTTAAAATGTAATGCAGCTAAGACTTTTTGAAATTAAAAAATAAATATTAAAGAAAAAATAATTTGAACCTGGAATGAAAGTCCTTCAACCAAAACCAGCTTGTTTAAGGCTCTTAAAAATTCATCTTTTGCTATATGCAAGTTAATTTGCTGCGGTACAAAACAATTTAATATGGATTGCTGTGAACTACTGCCTATGATGACTATATTTTTTTGGTTCTTATTCTTTTCTTCTAATATTTTCTCTAACTTTTCTTTTTCTAACGTTATGAGGAGCTCCGCGTGTTTTCTAGATAAGTGTCGTATAAGGTTGCTAATGCGAGCTTTTGCGGCACATGTAATTTCTTTACCGCATAACTCGTTACTTTTATTTTTTTCGGGTACAAGACATTTAAAGCATACTACTTTACATCCATTCAAAATTTTATTTGTACGATAAAAATGTCTGTAGATTGTATCTGATGCATAGTTAGTGGCCATTACTGGTCAAGATTGTTGCACACAAATATAAAGAAAGAATGTGGTATTGTGGTTTATCCTCCTCCGGCTAGTTGCCATATAGAGGCCACATTACCATGGTACCGCAAAGACAGGTTCGGCTCCCCAAGGAGCGTCATAACCCGCTCTACGGACCGAGAGTAAAGTGAGTTTAGGAAGAACGAAGATATGTTAGAGTGAAAGACAGAAGTAGTCGTGTTAGAAAGACAGCATAGAGAAAGCGGACAAGATTGCACTCGATGTTAGGAGGTCCAATAAGTTGACATTGGGATTAAAAACACAATGACTAAAGAATGTTGTTATTGCAAGTTATTGTGAACTTGTAAAGTATTTGCTTTCTGTTATATATGCTTCACAAAATTAATTATTTTTATAACAACCCACGAAAACATAGTTAAGAAAATCGTTAACATGACTAGTTATGAATTGACGACGCTGTTAAAAAAAATTTTGTAAAATGTTTCCTGGTATTATTTCTAATATGTCGAATTAAATTAATAAGATTTAGGAAAATGCATTAAAACTAAAAGCAAGTTTTTTCGTAAAAGGAGTTGTTGCGCAAAAGAATTATTATTTATTGGCTGAGATATTTTTATAAGCATCTTTGGGCTTCTTTATGACATAGTTAGTAGGTTTTTTACCGATTGTCTAGCTCGTTAGTTTGACTTTATAGCGCAAACTTACAGACAAATTTGGTTTTTTATTGCATGTCATTAATTTGTTAGTTAAATTTGGTAGCGTTCGTATCTAAACCATAACGCTTTCATTGCAACTTTTCAGAATGCGTTATTAAAATTAGAATTTTCATTTTGTTAGCAATGTACAAAATGAACATAATATATTCCATGACTAACGTGTTTGTTAAACTTTATAAGTTATAGAATAAGAAAATGTTGAATTATACGCATTATTTTCGGCAAGCTACATAGTTTGTGTTCTTACAAGTTAAAAAACAATATACGCTACTATGTTTTTATATAAAATAGTTTTATTGCACTTTTTAAAAGTTTTCTTTATTCTCTTAACAAGCATTTGTCGTGTGACGTTTCGCATATCGTTATTTGTTCATCCTCAAATTTAAAATGTTATCTAAAAAATAACTGCATAAAAGTAGGGAATTACAAACCGTACTTAATCTGGCCAAATGAACGAAATTGGTAAGGAAGGAGGTGAACTTCCAGGTTAAGTGCTCTTCTGCAGTGCTTTGTGACAAGACCATCAGGTTTTTTTTAAAGCATATAAATAACTAAAAAAAATAAAAAAAGTGTCTCGGAGTCCTAAAATTGTTATGGACTCCCGAGACTCCGGACTCCAGGCTAAAAGAGGGACTCCATGGACTCCGACTCCGGACTCCGACTCCGGACTCCGCATCCCTGATTTTAATTGATCTAAGTATAGAATTTTAATTTATTAACCTGGGTAAATAAATTTTCAGTTGAGAGAGTTAATAGAGTT